TAGCCAGAGGCAGAAGGGCCTGATGGGAGAACAAAAGATTGGAAAGTTAGTCTGGAAATCTCTTCAGAATCTAAAGTCATCTGGTGATACCATGGCTGATTACCAAGTGTACTTACCTTTATACATTCAATGTTACTAAATGATTACTCTTTTCACAATCCGAATTAAGCAGGAAAAAATAACTGCATTCTCTAACCGAACTCACACTTATTTTTTCAGAACACACCCGCATCTGTGTGAACGATTGGAAAAGCTTGATTCATATGGATTACATTTACAATTTATGTACTTTTTTAAACTTTCAATGGATAGAAAACAATTGACAGAATATAACATTCTCAAAAAAAAAAAAAAAAAAAAAAAACAATATTGTACTCGATTGTATTGTACTTGATTTCACACACAAAAAAATGTTGCTATTCTGTAATCTATTTTCAAAAAAATAATGAGTAAATGGCAAAGATTTGGATCTGAATTTTCACAGTTTATTTCTAATACGTGATGAAAAACAAATTTCAGGAGTATTTCAACATTATCGACAAAAAAACACTGATACTGTTCTAATGCAAAGAATTATGCAGTTGTTTCCATGCTAATTATTTTTGTACATGACAAGTTGTTTAATAAAAAAAACCCTAATCAAATTTAAAGTAAATATGTTATGCTTTATACATAACGTTAGCTAAGTTAATATTATCAGAGCCCTTTCTATTACCATAGAGTGCATGTCCACAAACAATATGGCAACATGTTGATAACGATATGTACCAATGTGTACTTTTGTACCAATTTAGCTATTTTTTTATAATGTGATTGTGCAGTATTGTAGTGATGAGATAGCAGAACAGAACTGGACCCAGAGCCACACACACATACACACACATGTGCTCACCCGCGGCTGGTCTTTGCTGATGGGGAAGAATCTGCGGTTGAAGCTGTCGGCTATGAGAACCGCCTGTAATGGATGCTCCTCTTCATCCTTATCCGACACTGCCTTTCTGGGCCGATTCTGTTTCCCTGCTTTGCCTGCCATGTTTGTGTCAACTGTCAAGTGTGTGTGTGTTTGTCTGTCAAGGAAACGCAATACAACGGCAACAAGCTTGAGTTTAGTGACCCGGAAGTTGTCTCTAGTCGGTATAATCAGAGAATGTCTGGTAACGTTATAATGTTTCTAATATTAATTAGCCTTAGTTTTAATCCTTAACTACGCAACATCAGTTTACTGTCATAGTTATAATTATTATCCAGGACATTACTCAGTTTTAAATGATTATCCAGGTTGGGACTGAAGAACAACGTAACCGGCGTTGTCACGTGACACAAGTTTCTTTTCTCAGCGATGGATCGGAATGACTGGACCAATCACAAGATAAGATATTTATTTTTTTATTTTTTTAAATAAATTGATACTTTCATTTAGCAAGTATGCATTTAATTGGTTAAAAAAAAATAATAATCTGATAACACTTTACAATAAGGTTCGTTAGTTAACATGAACTAATAATGAACGATAATAAATACTTTATTAAAATCTTGACATTAGTTAAAGCACCGTGAACTATGAACAAACAACTAACGTTAACAAAGATTAACAAGTACAGTAACAAATGCATGTAATGTTAATGTTAGTTAATTAGCTAATATTAACTAATTAATCTTATTTAGAGTGTTGCCAAAAATACACAGTGATTTTTATTGTGAAAGACATCTTCTATTTGTGATTTTCAGTGTTATAGCCTTGGTGATGTTAAGGTTTCAGTGTGGGACACACATGTCTGCCATATCCCGTTGCCCCTAAGTTTAAAGGGGTAATTCACACACACAAAAAAGAAGGATATTCGGTCATTATTACTCACCCTCATGTCGTCCCAAACCCCGACACACTTTCGTTTATCTTCAGAACATACGGATGGAGATGGTTTTGATGATATCTGAAAAACTCTATTCTAATTATAATGCATGAGATGGACTCTTTGAATTATGTTACATTGTGTGCTAAGACAATTAAATTAGCAAATGTTTCTAATTATTTCACACTGACAATTTTACAATTATACATTTTTCTTAAGAGGGGAATCTTCCTCAATATTTTCATTTCTAATATATAGTGTATATTAATATTAGCCTATGTCAGTGAGGAATGTAGTCATGAAGATGAACTAAATCGCAGGTATTAATTGAAGAATTAAGTGAGTAAATTGACAAAAAAAAGAAACACTGAGCACTATAACTGTTAAATGGTCTATTCACAGAAGAGAACGGACACTGAGTAACCAACGAGGAGATAACAATGGGAAACAAAACTATTTTCCTGCAAGCGAAGGAGTCACAGGAAAAACAGGCAAACTGTTGAAGAAATAGGTAAGCTATCCAAAACAGTGAATGGGGTTGAAAGCTTTCATCTCCAAAAACATTTTTCTCTTAAATTTCCTAATGAACTCAGATAAGCTCAGTGGCGACTTGTTTTCAGTCAAGTCCTTATTTTCGTGAATTGGAATGTTTGCAAAGGATTGTGGGCGATTGAAGGACATGAAGGATACACTTGATGCATCCTTCAAAGTGAGCTGAACGTAAGACTCAAAAAGAAGGCTGCCTTCCAAGGATCCATCAAATTGAGACGGCCCTAAAGGTGGGGCTTGATGACATTGCAGATATTTAGATCCTCTGGGAAGTGGCCGTGACCAGAGGGATGAAGGACCAGGACGGAGCAGGGGAACACCAGCGAGGAGAGCCGGCGGGGCAGAAGAGCTCAGGAAGAGGGGAATGAGTGGGTGACCTCTGGAGTGCCGTGTTGTGCTGAATCCTGACTCTAGGTAGGTTTAGGTTTGGGTGTAGGATGAGATTAGGTAATCATGTAGCGTCTTCAAAGTGGGTGGGGTTAATAAGTAAGGAATTGAAATGTAAGTACAACAACATAGCCGGAGACCTCTTCGTGGAGGAGACGAGGGTTACGACGTCACTCTATAGACCATTTCACTAGATGTAAACAACACTGGTCCAGAAGCACTTCCTGTTTCAGTTTGTAACTGTTTTCTTTATTTCACATGTAAAGAAAACATCTTAAAGATGTTTGTTTACCTTTTTAAATCAGTTTTAAATGTTCTGTTGGTTGTATTTTATCCCAGCTTTTATGTAGTGTTAAAAAACTGAAACAGGAAGTGCTTCTGGACCAGTGTTGTTTACATCTTGTGAAATGGTCTATAGGCCAAAACGCGGAAGTGAGTTAGCATTTTAGCATTACGGTTCCCTCGCTCTAAAGTCTATGGGATTTTTGAATGGGTTTTTGCTAAATCACCTGAAATAAGGTCTGTGGTGAACAGAGCCTCTGAATATTTTCACGTTTTGATCTATGACACAGAACACACAGTTATAACCTGCTTGTGTTTTTTTTAAAAACTTTATTGTGTCTGATTGTGTTTTTTAAAATCTTTATATTGGCTTCAAAATGTATAAATTTTGGATTAACTTGTAAAGATTATCTAGCTAGACAAAACGTGTAAGGGTCACAACTCTGTTAAACACAGATCTTATTTTTTGTGATTTTCCAAAAGTCTATGGGGAAAATGCATTGCTTTTCAACCGAGGGAACCCCTGCGCCGCTAGCTTCCGAGTTGTCTTACAAAGTGACGTCATCACTTCGGCACTCTATTAAGCCTATAATATATCATCCTTATCATCTTTCCCTCGCGGGTCAAAATGACCCGAAACCCTAAAATTATCCTTCACTCCGCCAAAGAAACTTATTTAATTTAATTTTGATAATCTTGTTTCTATTGTTTTTAATGCAATTTTTTAAATTTACCTTTAAATTACTAGATTTGATTAATAAACAACAAATAAATAAATAGTAATTTCAGCACATTCTTTCATCTTGAATTCAAAATAATTGACTATTTCATGCATAACCCTTTTAATTCAGCTCATACCTTACATTGGGTGACTTTGCCGACCTCTTGTGGAAAAATAATAATTGAACATGATATTTCATGACTCTTGCCACTAGATGAGCTTTTAGCTTTATATGATGCAAATGATAGTCATTTCACTTCAGTGTGCACTCAGATACACATAAAATATTTTGTTGTTGTTAAAATTTTAGCATTTTTATGTTTTTCTAAGTGTACTGAAGCATTCCTTGCACTCTATTCATTCCTATGGGGTCAAATTGACCCGTGAGGGAAGGATTTGTGACTTAAATTTCAACCACAAGACTCCTCGAACCAGTGGCGTAGCCACGAGGGGGCCTGGGTGGGCCTAGGCCCCCTCATTTACATGTCCGGTCCCCTCAGATTTCTGATTGCTTAAAAAAAAAAAAAAGTTGTTTTATTAGGATTGATAGATTGACCAATCAAAATGCTGTGCGGTAAAATGCGGCTTATTTTCAAACTTGATTTGTTTATATAACGTGTTGCGCGTAACGTACGCTGTCATCTTCATCTTTGCGTGAGAGTTAATATGCCGTGACAATGGCAGGCGCTCAAACTCAAAGTACAATATTACACTTTTTTTTTAAAAAGCACGGAAAGATCAACTTGATATATATATAAATAATGTTGCCCCCTCATTTAAAGACAGGACCCCCCAAAAATAAAATTCTGGCTACGCCCCTGCCTCGAACCCATTCAATTTTATGTGTATTGGTGGTTCAAGTGCGACCCAAGTCAAAATGACCCAAGGGAAATTTGACCTAATATTGATTTATATAAATTTTCATAATGTACATTGTGATAGATTCATTATTAGATCTCAAACTGGTAGTTTGTCATGTTGGTGCAACAATAAATAGATAAGTATGTGCAAAAAATTATCGCTCACACTCTATCTCACTTACACACACACACCTTTTTAATCTCTGTAAACTTTTAAAAAAAAGTATATCCCGCATGTCATGATAATTAGCCATTCATTTAGGTCAGCTGGAGTTGTGAAGGCCCCACCAGACAAAACATCAAGAATGATTAAACCAAGTATAGGCTAGAACAGGTAAACCACACTCAGGCGATAGATAAAGATATGTTTATTGACACATATCCATCAGTGCGGCCTCCAATGCAATTTAACATGCAAATACATCCACATCAAAACAGATCATTGTTCCAGTGCTTATTTTACTGAACACATTTGTAAAAACCATGTTGGATTATTGAGGAGGTATTCATCATCTTGATTCACGAGTATGTACACTGACGGAAACCGTTTTGACGGGCGCTTGGGATGTTAACGGTCTTTTCTATTGATATTACAAAAGAAAAAAAGGAGGGCATGATGCCTTCATCACTGTTCAACATGCAGAACTTGTGAACTTTGGTTGACAACATTGAAGACATGCAATAGATGGTCCGCTCTGTTTCAAACTCTTTAGGTTCTGGTAAAAATCACACTGTAATAGATACGTTTGTTTTCAAAGTATGATAATAGTAAAGATTTGTTTGGAGAGGAGCGCAAACAGATATGGCAGTAAAATTGTTATCCAAAAGGCACTAGGTGAGCCAAACGCTACAGATGTTTAGTTCTACAAATAAATTACAATTCAAACAGTGCAGTTACATTTGTTAACTTAATGTTTTCCTTTTTGAAACATTTATCTATGAATCAAATGTAAGGCAACACATTATATAAAAAAAAAAAAGATAAACAAAAGAATATTACAGAAACAATGTACCCAATGAACACACACACAGACACAATTTCTTTTCAATGGTTTCTGTGACATTTATGTCTCCCGATGCCATTCTGGTGGTATCCTATGGCTTGGAGCCTCCAAAAACAATAATAATGAAAATGACAATTATGATAATATTATGCATAGACTGTAATGATCTTCCATGCTCCATAAAAAAAAAAAAAAAAACAACAACCTCAAAATCTCCCCTCAGAAACTCTCAGTACCCAATACTTTGCAACCAAACCCAATTCATTTTGAGGTGTAGAATAAGGCAACCAGAGTCCATCAGAAGGCGGCATCAGAGTGGACCGAAGTGGAAATGGTTTGCAATCAAAAAGACTGTCCCAGAGACCCTTTTACGGTTAATTCCCCAAATTTCCCCGTTTGCCATGGTGCCAAGCTATAGTCCCAATCCCAGAGGTTTCAGAGTCCAAACAGAAAGACATGGCCATGAGAACAGCCTATAGTTTCCTTGCCAAGCTGTGAAAAGATGCTTTCCTCTGGACAGTAGGATATATGGTGTTGAATGAATGGAATCTGAGAAAAACCCGTGTTATGGGGAGAAGAGGGCAGAAAAAGATGATGCCAAAGCGTGTCCATGATGCCTTGCGGTAGGTAAATCCTGAATTTCAGCACCAATTACAGTCTGCTTTTTCACTTGTGAAATGCAACTTTAAAAAGGTTAATTACATGTTTGTTACAGATTTTTTGTATACTTTTTTTTTTCTTTTTCTTAGAGAGGAAAGTACAAAAATCCCAATTAAATCCAGAGGTTCAGATGGTTAGCTGGAAGAAAGAAGAAAAGAAAATGTCCAGTGTTTGAAAGTTTAAATGTAGGATCATTCACTCAGATCTTTTCATAGTCATCATCGTAATATGATTCACACACATCTCTCAACGTGGGCGAATCGAACAAAACAAACGCTACATTTGACTGCAGAAAACAGAGAACAACAACAGTAGTAACTTTTAGAAGTTATATATTACAAGAAGGAAATAAAGGCTGAAGATATTTGTATGCAATATTTATGGGCATTTATCCTTCAAATGACTACAAAGCATCTGGATGTTATATTTGAATCTGGTAATTCTTGTTGTTTACTTTAAATGACAGTAATAAGAATAGCTAAGTGTCATCACAATACAGTGGCCACAATATGTATTGAGTTTAGTATAACAGCTGGTTACTGAACACTGTATAACAGTGCAAGGTAAATTTACACAGTAAATTGTCCAGAATTGTTCGGTCCATTTACTGCCTGATCGATACAGAAGCAGCTTTAGTGATACTCAATGCCAATAATGAGTCTATACAAAATAAGCCTCATTTTCTTCAAGCAAAATATAAATCCATTCCTTTGTCAGGTTTTGTGTGATTGACAGTTTTTTTTACCATCATAGAAATTTGAATAACAGAAAAACGAAATCCAGCTCCCCCTCTCTGGACATAATGGGTGGAGTTTAGTGTTGTCAAAAGTACTGAAAACCAGCATTTCCCTCTAGTGCTTTGAGTGTGGTTGAAACCAACATATGTGTTCACGGGCTCAACATATGTGTCTCTGATTGGCCATTGTGTTCACGGGCTCAACATACGTGTCTCTGATTGGTCATTGTGTTCACAGGCTCAACATATGTGCCTCTGATTGGTCATTGTGTTCACAGGCTCAACATGTCTCTGATTGGTCATTGTGTTCACGGGCTCAACATATGTGTCTCTGATTGGCCATTGTGTTCACGGGCTCAACATGCGTGTCTCTGATTGGCCATTGTGTTCACGGGCTCAACATGCGTGTCTCTGATTGGCCATTGTGTTCACGGGCTCAACATATGTGTCTCTGATTGGCCATTGTGTTCACGGGCTCAACATATGTGTCTCTGATTGGCCATTGTGTTCATGGGCTCGACATATGTGTCTCTGATTGGCCATTGTGTTCACGGGCTCAACATACGTGTCTCTGATTGGTCATTGTGTTCACAGGCTCAACATATGTGTCTCTGATTGGTCATTGTGTTCACGGGCTCAACATATGTGCCTCTGATTGGTCATTGTGTTCACAGGCTCAACATGTCTCTGATTGGTCATTGTGTTCACGGGCTCAACATATGTGTCTCTGATTGGCCATTGTGTTCACGGGCTCAACATGCGTGTCTCTGATTGGCCATTGTGTTCACGGGCTCAACATGCGTGTCTCTGATTGGTCATTGTGTTCACGGGCTCAACATATGTGTCTCTGATTGGCCATTGTGTTCACGGGCTCAACATATGTGTCTCTGATTGGCCATTGTGTTCATGGGCTCGACATATGTGTCTCTGATTGGCCATTGTGTTCACGGGCTCAACATACGTGTCTCTGATTGGTCATTGTGTTCACAGGCTCAACATATGTGTCTCTGATTGGTCATTGTGTTCACGGGCTCAACATATGTGCCTCTGATTGGTCATTGTGTTCACAGGCTCAACATGTCTCTGATTGGTCATTGTGTTCACGGGCTCAACATATGTGTCTCTGATTGGCCATTGTGTTCACGGGCTCAACATGCGTGTCTCTGATTGGCCATTGTGTTCACGGGCTCAACATGCGTGTCTCTGATTGGCCATTGTGTTCACGGGCTCAACATGCGTGTCTCTGATTGGCCATTGTGTTCACGGGCTCAACATATGTGTCTCTGATTGGCCATTGTGTTCACGGGCTCAACATATGTGTCTCTGATTGGCCATTGTGTTCACGGGCTCGACATATGTGTCTCTGATTGGCCATTGTGTTCACAGGCTCAACATATGTGTCTCTGATTGGTCATTGTGTTTACAGGCTCAACATATGTGTCTCTGATTGGCCATTGTGTTCAAGGGCTCAACATATGTCTCTGATTGGCCTTTATGTTCAAGGGCTCAACATATGTGTCTCTGATTGGCCATTGTGTTCACGGGCTCAACATATGTGTCTCTGATTGGCCATTGTGTTCACAGGCTCAACATATGTGTCTCTGATTGGTCATTGTGTTCACAGGCTCAACATATGTGTCTCTGATTGGTCATTGTGTTCACAGGCTCAACATATGTGTCTCTGATTGGCCATTGTGTTTAAAGGCTCAACATATGTGTCTCTGATTGGCCATTGTCCACAGGCTCATGCGTATCTGATTGGCCAATGTGTTCATGCGCTCAACATACACTATATTGCCAAAAGTTTTGGGATGCCTGCCTTTGCATGCACATGAATGACATCCCACTATTAATCTGAATGTTTTTGGTTGGCCCACCCTTTGCAGCTAGAACAGCTTCTGGGAAGGCTTTCCACAAATTTAGGAGTGTGTTTATGGGAATTTTTGACCATTCTTCTAGAAGAGCATTTGTGAGGTCAGGCACTGATGTTGGATGAGAAGCTCGCAGTCTCTGCTCTAATTCTTCCTAAAGCCTAAAGTTTTAAACGGATTGGCCAATCAAAGGTGTTTAAGAATCTGTTCAACAGCGCACAAAGTTGTAGAGGGAAATGCTGGTATCGGCATATTTTTTACAAATATCAGTACCATCTTGGTACCAAAGTAGGTACTTTTGACAACACCAGTGGGGTTATGCTTAGTGATAGGGTTAGGGGTGTGGTTGGACCGTCTAGGTCAGGGGTGTCCAAACTCAGTCCAGGAGGGCTACTGTCCTGCAGAGTATAGCTCCAGTTTGCCTTAATAAGTTTCTAGTATGCCTAGTAAGACCTTGATTAGCTAGTTCAGGTGTGTTTGATTGGGGTTGGACAGTGGCCCGCAGGAGCAGGACTGGACAACCCTGGTCTAGATGCTGATGCACCCATTACGCCTAGACAGGGGGAGCTGGACTTCAATCTCCACCCATTGTTTCCAGCAGTGGAAACAAGATACAAATGGCAGAATATAGGGGGGAAATTTCAAGTTTCGTAGAGAGCCTCTGTCCAGATAAAGGAAATTCCCTTTTAATTGGTTAAGTTTGTAACAGAAAGAATTTGTCATTCTAGTAAACAAAAACCCAGAGTAAACATAAAAGGACAGGCCTCTAAAGAGCAACTGACCACAGTTAACCTCGACCTTTAAAACTGTGAATGAAGGCACTGAACAAACACAGGAGCAGTGGACTACACCATTAGACATGTAAGGGGTGGAGAAGCTGTATGATGTTGTCAGCATGTACTGGATGTTGTGTCTGCCGCATGGAGACTGGACTGCGCCCTGCTACAAGACAACAGCAAATAAACAGCCCGTCACGAGACTAACCTGCCTCTACAGCCAGGAACTTATGGCCTTCATTAGCAATAATTACATCTCAATCATAAAAAAACATGTCCCAGTCACATTTCACCCCAAATGTAGTATATATTAAAACAATGTATTAAGGAATTATGTTAGCATGACATTTATTTTTTAGGACCAAAGGGTTTTTTGAATGAAGACATTATTTTCATGACAATCAAGCACTTCCCTCACCCATTCTAAATACCATACTGTATCTCAAATCAAGTTTACTTACATAATGCTTTGTCCAATACAGATTGCTTTAAAAACTGCTTTACAGTAGCAACCACAAAGTCATAAACGTTTAAAGCAATCATTTCAGCTTGGTGTGTGTGTTTTCGCAACAGTAGCTGATACGTCGCAAACGTAACTGATGAGTTTAAGCTACAGCATAAGTCAATGTTTTGTCATTTATTTTTTTATCTAGCCGATTTATTTTATTTTATTTACCAATAATTGCAACAATGAAGAACAAAAATCGACTTTAAATCAGTATAAAGTCAGTACCGCAAATTTTTAAATCAATATTTTTTAACGTTATAAAAGTTATTTTGGTTTTATAATCACAATACAAAAATTTCTGTAGTGTTTACCAATACGATTAAACGCTCCTTTTAACCGTTTAACTACTTGACTACAAATTGAATTAAAGCAAAGATGCACGTCAATCAACCAAGAACTGTTTAAAGACTGTTTATTTTTCCCTCAGCATTAGCTTTATTTCTTTTTGATTGGTATATATATGATAGCACAGACAGAAGGGAAGTGACGGTGGCAATTTCTTTCTTTTCCAAAATTTCTTTTTAAAAATATATAAAAACACTGCTGTGGCGAAGGGCCATCGACCACCATGTTTGAGGTGAGACACTATAGAGTAACACAAGACACGTCACTCATTTTGTGCAACGCTCAATATGGTGGAATAATTCCCTCCTTCTAAATAAGAGCCAATCAGCGATTGATAGTCGTCTAGAAGCTCTGGTTCCTATAGAAACAGTGATGCGCTTTGATGATTCGAGCGTTTAGAGTTGTCAGATTTCATTGGTGATTTCAAATATGAAATTTAATCGTAAGCTTGGCGAACAGATTTGGAAAATTTGATGTTTCCTCATTCAAAGAGATAGGAGCTGCACTTGCATGCCCGTGAGGTGTTTCAAAATGGTCGCCGAGTGAAATGACTTGTCTTAAAGGGACTTTGATAGGACATAGGAATGATCACTACTAAATGGAGCGACCAGAATCTGCCAGTGCTGCAGGAAGATTATTGAATCATGCTTTTTATTTCGTCACTACATTACACTAATGAGAAATGCAGGAAATCCTTTGCTTTTTATTGTCCTGAATACATTTTATTATTTCTTTTGGAGTGAAATATGACTTGCAATCAAATCCAGAGAGAATGCTATCTGGTTAAAACTATACTACACTGAAAATCCTATTCTCTGCTCCACATGCATAATGTGCTTTAAGATTGGTGTGACACTGTATGGTTGTAGTTACCTTGGCTTTCCTGGCACGTTTTTGGGGTTCTTGCGGAAGGACTGGTTTACTACGGAGCGAGTGGACATTGTGCGTGGAGACGCCCTTGCGAAGGTAGAAGGAGGGGTCTTGGGAATCTTCTTGCCGAGATGACCAATCCATTTCTTCTGCTCATCTTGGGACAAGGCCAGAAGCAGCATGTCTCGAGCTGATGTCACATCATAATTAACTGAGGGACAAGAACAAAATGAGTGTTGCTGTGAGATGCCTCGTCACACATACGGTTTTGATGTAGATTAAATGTAACTTTCTGATTAGTACATTTTTTAAAATCAGCATTTACAGGTAAAATTCACTGTCAAACAAACATCAAACGTGGTGGAATAAAGAAGTGCAAAAGAAGGAGCAAACAACATCCCCCGCCTCGTCAAGTTCTGCCACTGGTACCACCGGCATTTGAAACAAATTACCGCTACCGCTAATATCAAGCCCACCTATAGACCCGCATCACTGATTTCAACTATGGAGGTGAAGTCGTCCAGTGAGATGTAGAATGGGAAGCGGACTGGCCACGGCGACATACCAGCTGAGATCTGGCAGTTTTGAGGAACTCCTTCGAGTCATAGCTGAGAACAAGCCCCCCACACCTGGACAATTCAGTACAACTGTACCAATCAGGAAAGGCAAGGGCAACTACCACCCAAATTCGGTTGCTCAAAAGGTATTTCAGCGGGTACTGGACCAACACCTCCAAAACATCACTGCCATCACATCCAATCAGTGTGACTTCATCAAAGAATGTGGCACCATGATTATGATATTCTTGCCACCTGGTTGCTGACAGAGAAACACCAGAGGAAGAACGGTGCACATGGCATTCCTGGACTGGAAAAGGCATTTGAGTTTCACACAACCGTATCTAGCGAGGACTGCAATCTCATGACATCCCTTGAGGTGTAAATGGTTGAATTTCTTTACTGTAATGTGATAAACATGGTTTGATGCCCAGTTGGGATTTTACCTAGCCTGGTTAAAAGCAGACCATTCTCAGCTGTAACGGAGTTATAATCTGGCAAAGCGTTATAGACAAATCATTTCCAGAGGGGGGTCACCAATGGAAGTCGCAGGTAGACCTAAAACCAATCAGAGCGATGAAGGAGATGACATATGCAGAGCGGCGGTCCGCGGAGAAAAATCTCAGAGTGTTGTTCTTTGCTCGGTTTTAACAAAAAGGAAACGTTTAAATTGCTTAAAACAGACGCGGTAGCTGATTCGAACGAGTGATGTTCGACGGCGGCATCCATCTTTGTAATGTAGGCTACAAAATCTGCTTCAAAATCGCAGCGCTGTCGTCATCATCTAAAGCCAGCCCCAACGTTTCTGATTGGTGCCGCGATTTTCGCCGGATTGAAAATGGGTTTGAATGAGCTCTTTGCCAGACTAACTTTCAGAGCAAATCTAAATTTCAACATCACTGTCGGTGTTCAACAAGGCTCAGCCCTCTCACCCCTTCTGTTCATCATTTGCATAGACACAGTGACAGCAGACTTCCAATCAACACACTCCTGGACACTCTTGTACGCAAAGCATTGCTTTTGCAGGAGACCTGCTCTGTGCTTCAACACCCAACAGCTTAGAGGAAGCAGAATGCGGCTAAATATTCAAAAAGTCGAGTACCTGGAGTTAGTTTGGCCCCCCAAACCAATGGCATCATCAACAATGATGGGTAGGATTTGAAGAAAATCATCTAGCCTTGTATCCTCGGTCATATCAGATGGCGACACCATCCTCGATGCCCGGGAAGAATCGATGCAGCATCGCTCAAGTGGAGACAAGTCAAAATCTATAAGACCGTAGTGCATTCAGAGGCCCTTTATGGGGCAGAGTGCTGGGCCACAACAAAGCAGCACGAGCAAGCCCAAGGATATGAATGTGCTCCAGGGGACACTTGGCATGACCCGTCTCAAAGGCTTGGAATCAAGCCTCGATCATGGAGAATATGCGGGAACCCTTGTATACGGCTATAAAATGGGCAATAACAACCCAAGTTTCAACCCAGGAGGCCACTGACAGCATGGAAGGCCAAAGAAACGGTGGATGGACATTTTTCCCAGTATATATGTGGGCCGTGGACCTTGCCCAGAAAATGCTAAGGACTGGGCAAAATGGCGAAGATAGCAAAAAACTATTAAAACTATGGGACCTATGTTTGCATGTTGTAATCCTTTATGACAAGAAGGGATTCAAGTAAAATCAAGATTTTGCTGTTCAATTTATGTACATTTCAGTCAATCATTATAAATGTAACAAATATTTTCTGCATTTTCTGCTTGTGGCTCACCTTTGCAAGGGGCGATAACGTCCTCCTTCTTGTCCAGATGGTCCTTGTGGCACTTGACGTGGCAGCGGCGGCACTCCAGGGCTGGCGGGGGCTTGAAGACGTGCCACAGGGGTTTGGAGCAAGCCTCACAGTTAGAAGGGAAATGGTAGAGGGTGGGGATGAACTCATGGCCTTTGTGGGGCAAGCAGTTGGCCTTATCACCCTGAGGAACACTCTCCATTTCCGCTTCCTTCCGGCACTCACCCTCATTAGCATAAAGTATCTGAAGAACAAAAACATATTTTTCAAATTGTACATTTAAGTAAAAGTTAGAGGGTCATCAAAATATTTTTGAGACATTAACATTAAAGCAAAAACTGTTACTGCTGTTTTACACAGAATCCTGCCAACCGCACTAACTTTATGTTTTGGCCTTTGGAACATTTCTGTGTAATGTAAACGTCTCTGGTTACTGATGTATCAGATGAGGGTATGAGATATTACATCAGTAGCTGATACTATGGGGAAACACCTTTTTCCAAAAATACTGAAGTTTTATTGAAAAACGGCAATGTAAAACACTGGCCAATGGGTTTGAGTGGGCCTAATTTTCTCCACCTATATATAATAAAGCAGTGCCGAATTGCAGTTCTCATAAAATCAAGAAATAGAAATGCAACCAGCTTACGCAATATCGAGGATATGCTAGTAGCTGAAGACGTTTCCCTTTCCATTTTGTTTCACTAGACATTAAGTCAGTAACTGATACTATGGGGAACTGTAGTTAACTAGCTAACAATAGCAACTAGTTAAAATAACTGTTGATAAAATAACTAGTTAAAATAAATAACTAAAATAATCCAGTAGATTTAAAGCTATCTGGTGAAGCGACCAGACACACATATCAACAATAGTCCACTAGCATAAAACTCTTTGGCAAAAAAGGCCCAGACACACTCAAACAGCAAATATGCGGTTCTAATGGCTCGTTGGGGCAGCAGGGGTACATACGTCATGGTGATAAATCTGCTTGTTTGATGCAGCGGCACTTTCTACATTCAACAGCATGCACATATCGGCTTGTATAGGCCTATGTCACGAAAAAAATTGAAGACCGGAAGTACGTCTTTTAGTAGGGATACGGCTCTTCCGGTTAGCTTTTTAGAATGGTGGAGTTCGATAGATAACGCTGGACCAAATCTCTCCGCAACCTGCCTGAAGTCACATATATGACGATTAGGGATGGGACGATAACTGGTTTCACGATAAGCCGTGATAAAATGTACTGACGGTTAGTATTATCGTTTAAAATTTAATTATCATTAAAACCGTGTTTGATTATCGCGATTTTAATAACTCACTGAATCCTGTCGGCCAGTCTGACGCAGGCGCGCAGCACGCAATATTTTTTTAAATTACTATTCGAGAAGGAATGGTGGAAGGCAGTGACTGTGCTCAGGAGATTTTTCAGCCTTTTAAAAGGACCAAATCTGAGGTGTGGTCATATTTTGGGTTTTACAAAAGTCCTGAGGGAAACTTGATCGAGGATGGTCACCCTGTCTGCCGAACAAAAAGTCACTGCAATAGAAACACTTCAAATCTGCCGAGTTGTCTTGTGTGATGATCACCCGAACGCAAGGCAAGTTAACTTTGACCTCAATACCAAAACTACGTCTGGGAAACAGTTGGGCACGAAATGTTGTTTTGAGTTGAAACATTTTGTCACTCACTTGAAATAGACGTCAAGCTTCCGCAAAGAAAAGTTCGTAGCAAGTGGATTTGAGCTAAAGATGAATGAACAACTTCAAACAAGACTATTATTAAGAGTGATATTTTAAGGGATAGTAAAGTATAGATACATCACGTATTAAACCGATTTTATTTTTACCACATAATTACGGGGACATATTGAATTGATAATGAGATTAGCTAATGTTTTAAATCTTACCTATTTATGAATTAATTTTGTAAAACAATCGTCCAGACAAGATATATCACACCAATATTATCAAACTATGTAAAAAATAAATCAACTCTGATTTCATTTTTGCAATACAATCAAAAACTGGAGACGCAAGACGGCAAGTTGTATTTGAATGAAACGAGAGCGCGCGTCCGTTGTGATATGGATGTGCGCTGTGTAATAATGCGTTGCTATTGACGACGGGCATTATAAAGAAGCAAATGCCATAGAATAGAATCTTGCTTAAAAAACTGCATAGAGAGACTTGTTTTATTTCTTGTTTGTTGATTTTCAATTATAAAACTTGTTGAAATGTTTTCAGTGTGAGCAGCATCAGTTCTTTTTGAGCACTTTCATAAACTTTTAACAAAACCGTGATAATATTGATAATCACGATTATTTTGGACACTATAATCGTGATATGAAATTTTCATACCGTCCCATCCCTAATGACGATGTGGTTCGGATGGTAAAAACTCTCAAGTGGGAAAGCGTGAAAGCAGATGTACGGCTGTCTACGGCAACCCGGTACACCACAACAACAGCCGCGGGTAGCTCTAGCCGTTCGCCAGAAAAGTAAACGTTTCTATGGTAACAGCGAGTTGGACCAATCAGCAGACGTTGCTGCGCTTAGGATTGTGGGAAGTGTAGTTTTTTTTCCATAAGATCACGGATAAAACTTTCATACAAACTTGTAGATTCAACAGGAGCAAAAACCTTCGTTTCACAACCTCATAGCTCGTGGTCAGTCTACCTCGGATGGTTTAGACATTAGGGATGATAATCGAAATCCTTATCGAGAAATACTGTTGACCGGAAGTTCTGTATCCCTACTCCGGAAGCAGGAAGTGCGACACAGGCCTATTGTTCATCTTTCACACAGCAATTAACCCCGGGTTAAATCTCTAACCCTGCATTAGGGCACCAAATGTGTCCAATGTGAAATGATACAGTGTAAGAATTATGCGGTTAGAGGCTTAGCAAAGGAAACCCAATCACGTGCCTCATGCTTTGGTTAGTCGCAGAATTGCCGCGTGTTGTATAAAAAGTAGGCTATGTTTCAGTGTTTGAGGGGAAAAAAAGTCAAATGGTGACAGAAAATGTGAGATTTACAGTCTGAAAAGTCAGTACAGTTGTCAATATATTATTTAAGGATGAACAATGCTAGAGCCTTTTCTGCAAACAGGTCGTGTGCGGTGTTCGTCCAATCAAAGACGCTGACATTTCACATATGCAAATAAGGACATTATCCGAGGTTTTAGGAAAGTACAGTGTTTAACGTCAGCTTATGAATACCTTGCAACAAACTTGGAATGACTTCAGCTTCCCTACAATAGTTTCCCAAACATGATCCGGTGCAGTTTTTGAACTAGAGCCCGACCGATAAAGGATTTTGAAGGCCGATACGATACAAATATTTTTGGGTTTTAAAATCCGATATATCGGCCGATATATTTTTTTTTAATTAAATATTGTTGGATTTCACACACGTGTAAAAGAAAAGCTAACTTTTCTGCACAAGATACGTTTGATACTTTTTCTCTATGTCTAAATGTTCACTCCTCGCAAGTATAACTTACATTTTACAATGCAGGGACTGTAACTAGAGATATGCTAGCTATAAATACAGTAATCATTACTTTATTTAGGCAGAAAAAGTTCATTGTGGTTTCCAAGCTCATTAATGTTAACGTTAGCGGTCTTCCACTGATGATAGTGGCATTAGCTTGCTTTGTGGTTAGCTAGTTTATGATGAGCCATAATTTAGCAATAGATAACGTCATACTGCAAGTTGTAAAACATACATTTTCAATATAACAGGCCAAGGAGAGATGATTGAAGCGTGTTTCGTCCGTTTTTATTTTATTTTTTAAATATTCATTTATCTGCCATTATAACTGCCGATACCGATATTATGGAAAATGCCTAATATCGGCCGATATATCGGTGTTGCTCTATTTTGAACTATGTCTATTTATGCGCATACAGCATTGATACGGTGATACGTCATTATAGGGAACTCCGTGCAAAACATTGAAAATAAGGAACTGACCTGGAATATTCGTGGAATTTCATCCGTCTCAGCTCGATAAACGTCGCCTTGCGTGACAGGACGCACATGGAAAAGTTTGCTGTTTTGAAATAATGCATTTTCGTTATTTAGCAGAAAGTGTAATCATTCAATTTTACATACAGGAATGAATCAAGAGGCCAGTTAATATAGATAGTTATTTATCAGAATACTTACTCAATATCTAGTACCATAGAGGGGTTGGACTGCTCTTTGTCTTGCTCGTCATTGTAAAAGAGAATCTTTTTACTGCTCACCACAACATACTGAGGGAAACGAAAAGAAACATTTAAAAAGGGGCAAAGAGCAGCGTCTAAATGCAAGGACAATAATAGTTTAATAGATAATTCTTCATGCAAGTACTTACCTGCTTTTTCCAGCCATATCTTTTTATATTAACCCTATTAGGTATTGCGAGCCAGCCTTCGAGCCTTGATTCTGAAAACAAATAAATACCATTATATCCAAGTCAGAATTTGAACAAGCAATAGAAACAGACATGCGGGAACACAAACCAAGGTTGTGACACAATCTACAAAAACCGATTGGCTTTTACTAACATGCGTAAACCAGGTACACTTTAAAACAACTGCCCACATCACCGGGTTGTAGTTGTAAAATCCCATGCTGTTTTGTTACGTGAAACTAACAAGGAAAAAAGGGCAGGCCTTTATTTGATCGATCAAGGGTTAGTAAGATGGTGAAAATGAGATGTCCTATACGTAAACAGATCCTGATGTTGTTGTGAATGTGAGAAAACAATGGCCAAATAGATATTTGACGCATTACCCAATCAATTTTGACTATAATAGCTCACGTTGACCAAAAGAAGAACACCAAGTTATTACATTGTCATTAACATTTGTATTTCTATTTGGGCACGTTTGCTCAGAACAACAACAGCTACTGTACTAGCTATCTGTCTTGACTAATGAACAAATAGGAGATGCTAATTTATTACATTTAGGGCTGTCAAACGATTAATCGCATCCAAAATAAAAGTTTGTGTTTACATAATATACTGTATGTGGATGCACTGTGTAATTATTTTATATATATAAATACACACACATGCTTGTATATATGTAAGAAATATTTTCATGTATATACTTTATATATAACTTATATTATATATAAATGTCAATATTGTATATATAAATAATATATTTTTTTCTTAAATATACATGCATGTGTGTGTATTTAAATATATACAAAATAATTATACACAGTCCACATATATTATGTAAACACAAACTTTTATTTTGGATGCGATTAATCGCGATTAATCGTTTGACAGCCCTAATTACATTAGTACATCTATAAGTTTTTCTGATCAACGTAGACTGAAATTTTGCATAATAAACCCAGGAATGTGCGTCACGTTTATAGCAGTATTAGTAACTGGCTCAATACAGCAGTTTGTTGTACATTTTATCATCAACGCATGTAATTCTGCCCCTTTTCTGGAAATATCAACCAAACTAAGATGCAATTAAATTAAAATGTTACTGGTTTAAAGGTTCACGCAGTGGTTGTGAGGGAGACAGGTAGGTCACATTAGAATTGTTTTTAAAAAAAATCATGCAAAAACTGTGTGACCACAACTGAGTGTGAATGCTTAATGTCATTCCTTCTGTAGTGAGCATGCTTCCAGTGCAATAGAAAACCCAGCCGTACACACAGTCAACATACAGGCACACGTGTGCTTCACAGGGCTGGGGATTGACATGGATTTCCCAATGTGATTAGATAGGTTCATTCTTTTGGGTATATGTTATTATTTTCAATTAAATTTTCAATTTTAGGGTTGGATAACTTAAATCATTAGGATAAATTAAAGGGGTCATGACATGAGAGATCAAATTTTCCTTGATCTTTTGACATATACGAGGTCTTTCTACCATTAATACATTCAAGTTTCAGAGCTTAAAATGTTGCCCTCATTATAAACTGGGCATTTATTTAATCAAACTAAAAAAAGGCTTGTTTTGATTTTGCGGAATATGTTACGTCACATAGTCAAATACATTTGCATATGAGCAAGACGAATAGTTATACATCATCGCACCATAGACGATAGACTAATGCCTGATTAGTCTAATGCCAAGATTTTAGGAGTCAAAATCGCGTAATCCGACATAGTGACTATCGTAACAGACAAATTTGTCTATTACGATAGTCACTGTGTCAGATTACGCGATTTTGACTCCTAAAATCCTGACCAGTCATTGCATGCCGTCTTTAAAGGCACGCGTGATGTCATCGAGAAGGCGAAACTAGTAGCAAGTAACTTCCGGAAACGAACGTAAAAAAACAATGGATGAAGTGGTGAGTGTTGTATTGGCTGAAAAAAGTAAAAAAAAAACAGATAAAACCCGACAATGGAAAGTTCCTGGATTGCTCGAAGAGGACAGTATGGGCTGTCAATCCTCCAAAGAGAATTTGAGGTAAAATATTGTTTTCTTATATATTTTTTATTTTAGCTTTAACGTTAGCACCATTGTCGATCTTTCGTTTCGCCATTTTTGAAAGTTGTGTACGGAAAAGCTTCTGTGCTCCTATTGGTCAACCTCATACATGTGACGGTACCGTCGTGGACGACCGTTAATAAAATTAAACATGCTAGTCTTTTTGTCGTGATGTCGTGAAGCATCACAGACGCGACGTAGGTTGTCGCCCACTATGACACACTATACAAGATGATACGATCAAATCTTGCGTCCCGACGCCCGTTGTCGTTTTTGAATCCCCACGACACCCTTCGTCAGACGGATCGTGCCAAAATCGGGCTAAAATCGTGTAATCTGAACCAGGCTAAGACCTTTCAACGTGATTACGTACTGTGTGGCGCATCACATCACATACATATATTTTTTTTAATAAGCGCACAAAAGAACTTTAAACATTATAAGTGATCCCCAAGGAACACATTAAAATATATATAAATGTAAAGAAAAAAACATGTCATGACCACTTTTAGGTGTTTCAAACTTTACAGAGCCAGGGAGGGACAAGCCATGCTAAATGAAGAAACTTTTCCTTTTGCAATTATTACATGATCTTCTGTGCATTACTTGCAATTTAAAGTTCCATATCACATTCACATATTAATATTTTAACCCAGGCCAATAGGAATACAAAGAGTAAAGCTATCACACACACACACACACACACACATTAAAAGAGTGTGCCTTGACCTAAAACACCCCTGAAAGGTGCTCAGAGTAGGTTAGTCTAAAATGATTTTAATAAGCAAAATAAGTTTGGCTAATTTCAGCAATTTCGTTTAAAATAAGTCTATTTTAGCATTGCTCTATCAGTAAAATCACTCTGAGTAGCTTATTTCTGAGGTATCACCAAAACACATTTGACATTCAGTAAGATGCGTTCATTAAAAAAACAACAAAAGTAACGAGAAATGCCACCCAAGAGCACAATCCAGGCATAACAGGATCCCAATCTTAAAGTTACTCACAGAGGGAAAAGAATAGAAGATACACAGATAAGGAGAGCAAGAAGAACTGACTATATATGAGGGAGAACAAGAGATTAGACTTTAAACACAGACATTGGAAGATGATGATTGTGTACACCACCTGGCAACATGAAACATCATCACCTTCATCCTATCATCACAACATTACAAGTCATAAGGACAATTTGTGTGCTAAATCTAATGAATATCATAAATCCTAATAATTATACCCTAACAAAACGACATTCATTAGCCTAATAATCACTCTGTTTTCATGTCTATTTAAAAAAAAAAAATTCCAAAATATCCCCACACACGTCTTTAAAAATTCAATACTGTCGATTTTACTTTCAGAGTTTTACCAGTGACTTTCATATTCATTTTGCGCTGTAGCATGCAAATCTCTCTATAATTGTGTGCTCGCTTTTGTTTTTGTAATCAGGCTTTCAAAAACTGTATTAAAAAAATATTTGGATTTGGATTTATCGGTCACTATATCGGCTATCGGATTTCAAATATAAAGAATTATCGGTAATCGGTATCGGCCAAAATCTTCATATTGGTGCATCCTGAAAAAAACCCACATCATATGTATGCGTCCATAGTTTTGGATGTTCGGTAAATTCCGTTGCAAAATATACATTATAAAAGCAGTTTTTTTGTATGTTTAAGTTCGGTCTTAAAAATAACAACGTCTAGCGAATCAGGGCAAAATGTATCATTTTCTTTTTTGGTCTGTGAATCGAACTACTTAAACTTTGAACACACCCTTAGTCACACCAAACATGATGCGAACAGGCCTGTACTGTTTGCTTACTGTTATTTAACTATTATACTAAAATACAAATGAGCATTGAGAAATTTGGTTAAATTGCTTCTTATTTTTTGCATTTCACCTGCTCTGCGTGTTTGTCCCCCAATGAAACGATTTTAAATCCATTCCTAGCTATTGTGGGCTACAAATGCTAACCAAATTACTTAAAACTCTATTCCTTAATTTACCTGACATTTCTATAACAGAAACATTCATGTTTCGTGAGCGTTCTCTCACCAGCAGTGTTGCTGTCCAGCTCGTCCGTCTGCAGGCTGGTGACGCTGGAGTTCTCCACGCGGAGCTGCAAGTCGTTCAGCTTCTCGTGGAGTTGCTCGATGTCACTCTCTTTGCTGTCTAGTTGCATCTGCAGCTCATTGCGATACGTGCACTCCTCGGCCAATTGCTGCAAAGACACACGCAACATCATTTTCATGCTGATGTGGAGCGTCCATGCATGCCTTCACTAGAACAGATTTTGTTCAGTTTTGTCCCCGTGAAAACGATTAAACGTGAACTTGCCGCTTGCATCTCGTTGAGCTCCTTCTGGTACTTGATGGCCATGTGGTTGAACTTCTCCTTCTCCTGGTTCAGCTCCAGCTGCAGTTTGCGATTCTCCTTCTCTTTCTTGCGCAGGTCAGTGGTGCTGCCTCTCTTCTTCTGGTCCAACTTCATGTCCTTCCGGTTCATAATCTCAGCCAGCTTATTCACCGCCTGCAGGGACATCAAAGTTTGAGCAAAGAGCAAACGATTCTTTTCCTTTCAGACATGTCATACTGCTTGTTGTCAGCCTACACAGACAGACACCTAACTAAAATGGATCCTCATAATTGAATATAATTTGATGTTAATATTTGTGCTGTCGATTTAATGCTTATTATGGGGGGAAATTATTAATAAACGCATTTAACACAGCGACCCAGACCTACGTAGGTCATGTTCCATTTCACAGTTGATTGGTGACGAACATGAATCATGAAACCTATAGAATGCAGTTAGAGTGGCCAAAAATTCAAGACAACATATGTTGTTGTCTCATATTTAAATATGTTATGATATAACTAAGCTAGCCTATTTCACATGAGTAGTGAGCGCAATATCACACAAGTGCCGTTTTCATTTTGAATAGCACAAGTGCAAATGTGATCTTGATTTTATACAACAGTTCAATAAATAATAAGTTGATATTGATACGTTTCAGACACAATATTGTTAGTTTTTGCTGAATTTTGCCAACAGAAATATTACCTGTAAAGCCCAAGCAGTACTGTTGTGTGTCTCTGAGAAACCCACAGTGGTGTTTCGTTCTGAATGAATGAGCGTTTTAAGCGAATACATCAGGTGAACCAATAATTCAATGACTCATCCATAAAGAGAGCCATTTACTTAACTCCTGAATAAATCAGCTGTTTGAGCAAATCAATCGGGTGAACCAATGATTCAATGACTCATCCATAAAGAGAGCCATATACTTAACTCCTGAATAAATCCGCTGTTTGAGCGAATTAGTTGGGTGAACCAATGATTCAATGACTCATCTATAAAGAGAGCCATTTACTTTACTCCTGAATAAATCAGCTGTTTGAGCGAATCAATCAGGTGAACCAATGATTCAATGACTCATCCATAAAGAGAGCCATTTACTTAACTCCTGAATAAATCAGCTGTTTGAGCAAATCAATCAGGTGAACCAATGATTCAATGACTCATCCATAAAGAGAGCCATTTACGTCACTCCTGAATAAATCAGCTGTTTGAGCGAATCAATCGGGTGAACCAATGATTCAATGACTCATCCATAAAGAGAGCCATTTACTTAACTCCTGAATAAATCCACTGTTTGAGCAAATCAATCAGGTGAACCAATGATTCAATGACTCATCCATAAAGAGAGCCATTTACTTAACTCCTGAATAAATCAGCTGTTTGAGCGAATCAATCGGGTGAACCAATGATTCAATGACTCATCCATAAAGAGAGCCATTTACTTAACTCCTGAATAAATCAGCTGTTTGAGCAAATCAATCAGGTGAACCAATGATTCAATGACTCATCCATAAAGAGAGCCATTTACTTAACTCCTGAATAAATCCACTGTTTGAGCAAATCAATCGGGTGAACCAATGATTCAATGACTCATCCATAAAGAGAGCCATTTACTTAACTCCTGAATAAATCCACTGTTTGAGCAACTCAATCAGGTGAACCAATGATTCAATGACTCATCCATAAAGAGAGCCATTTACTTAACTCCTGAATAAATCCACTGTTTGAGCAAATCAATTGGGTGAATCAATGATTCAATGTTTCTAATAATGACTTGTTCACCATCTTGGATGATGTTTTTTTCACTGAGCTTAATGTTGTTTACACGTCTATATGGTGTTTCTAATATGCTTTAAGACAAACCATGTGTAAATTTATAAGTCGACAGCATTACTGAGTATTTTCTGCATAAAACTGAACCAAAGACAGTCTCAAACACACGGTTTGAAATCGCTGGTGTTTCTGACGTCAAACGACATTGTAACAAATCAGATCAATGTGTGATCGTCAACCAGTGGATAGGCATGAAGGCATGAAGTATTTTGTTCCAAGGAAAACATATTTAAATACATAATTTTGGTGATGAAAGATTACCGACTACAGGCTTTAAAATGAGTCAATGTTTGCAAATGACTCTCAAAAGACTTCCCTGTTCTCATATTCTGTTCACTTTCACACATTCAAATCTATGTTGATGATGACATTGGCTTTTTCACTATAAGAACGCACATTATTTATACAAAGTCAAAGCATGTTGGTCATACCTGGATCTTCAGAGTTCTTTCTATATTAAGGATCTTCTCGTAGTTCACCTTTACCGAGTTTTCCACCTCCTCCTTCTCTGCTGCGAACTCTACAGGAAGACATTAGAAAAGCCGTGTTAATGCGTAAAGATAAACTACAGGTCACCACTTGGATTTAAGATTACCTTCTTCTTGAGCTCGGAGCCTTCTGTCCAACTCGGTCTTCTCCTTACTGAGGATGTCCACATCTTTGGTAAGGGTTTTGATGGATTCCTCAAGCTAAACGAAAATGCATTATACTCCAATTAAAAGCTACTAATATAACCACAAGTTGACAATTATGACAGAGTAAAATTGCAGGTAGGATTGAGTTTTAACCCTGAAAATGTGCTGGAAGACAAAGGGACTAAATGAAATGGTCAGATTGAGAGAAGGAAGCCTGTCCTCCGTTAATAACAGACCTGTGTGATGCTGGAGTCTTTCTCTGAGATCTCCAGTTTGTAACGTGACACGGCCTTCTTGTTCTCCTGAGAGAGTTCAAAATACTGTTCTTCCTGAAGCGCACGGGCCAGCTGCTCCGACTCTGCTTTCGTCATGGTGAGGTCCAACTGAGCAGAGAGCGACTCCCTACACAAAACATTTATGAAGAAGTTCACAAAAACGTAAAGTCACAAGACACTATTTAGACCCTTTAACGTTTTCCTTTTAAAAGCTACAAATTCATGAAGAGGACTTTTACTTCTCTGAGTACATGTCCTGGACTTTTTTGAGAGCGTCTTGAGTTTGTCGATTCTTCTCCTCGATCTCCTCCTTTAGCTCCTTCACCTGAGTTTTATAGAGTGTCTGAAAACCGGAAAATATGGCTTGAGAATGTATAAGCAATGCTGATTTCCTCTCATGAAATGAACATGACACCCTAACATGGCCGTAACTGATTAAGCCCGCCTCGGCTCGGCTCGCTTGCTTTTCGTTCCGTTTTCCATTGCAGAGAGTGCCGCCACAAATAGTACGCGGTCGTCATAGCGACACCTTTCGTCCCTCGTTGCCCTATCAATCTCTCGCAGGATCCTCTCTTCGGCCACCAAACAAAGGAAAGTCTGCACCTCCTCGTTTGACCACGGCATATTCTTCCGAGTTGCCATAATAACAGTAGTCAGTTTAGTAACTATCTCTGGGCAACTATTTAAAAATGGTCGGGTTATTCTGGATACAACAACTGGCCCGTGTAATGATGAATGGTGACGATTCTCTCTGACCAATCAGCAGTCAACATTGTTTTCACGTGACATTTTAGTATCGCCTTAGCTCGCTCAGAACCTCGCCGGAGGTGGTACAAAAAAAGTACCCAAAAGCAGGAACAGGTACAACTTTTACACGTTGAAAAACCAAACAAAGGCGAGCCGAGCTGGTACTGTGTAGTGGAAAAGCGCCATAATACTATGACTTTGTTGATGTTTTTAAAGGTGTTAAGATACTTTGTATTCAATTTCAAGTTCCATTTCCATCAGTGTTGTAGTCGAGACCACCTCACTCGAGTCCGAGTCTAGACCGAGACCAGAGAGAGTCGAGTCCGAGTCGAGTCCGAGACCAGTTAGGGTTGATTACCTAATTTACTTTTATTTACTTAGAGAAATCCTGTTTTTTTTTACTGAATTTACTTAGAGTTTAAAAAATATGATCAGTTTAGGGTAAAAAGGCCACATAGTAGGTGGTGTTAAAAGCAATTTTTTTACAATTTGTCATGCGCAGTTGCGCACTAGAAAATCACCAATCACTGGGCGTGTCAATCAATTTAAAGAAATATTTTATTAACATACATTAATAATCATGAAAAATATTTTGAATTGAACACGAGTAAATTCGGGAATAAGTCCGAGTCCTAAAAAAAAAATGTTCGAGTACGAGTCAATTCCGAGTCCAAATGCACACGAGTCCATGACAAGACCAAGACCATTAAAATATGGTCTCGAGACCGACTCCGAGACGAGTCCGAGTCTCGAGTACTACAACACTGATTTCCATATCACTTTGCCAAACTCCATCAATTCCCCCCTAAGCCAAGGCTAGGGCCAAATCAAAAGTGTAAAATAAAAGAGTGGCTTGAGGCCAAAACCTGAGAATGTAGTATATTAGACTTGCACATCTGGTAAAAGCAGAATAATTAACTCTGCACCACTTAATTGGAGTGGTGATCCTCTGTGTGTTAGAGGTTTTTAATTCAGGAGATGAGATTGGAAGTGACTATCATATTTATTTAAGACCGGGACACATCGTGCCGACGGTTTTTGAGCGTCGGACGGCTTAGGGCCAATCCCAATTCTACCCCTTCACTTTCCCCTTCCCCTCCGTTTTGCGCGTCCACGTGAAGGGGTAGGGCTGTCCCGATTCTCTTTTGGTTGGAGGGGGAGGGCTAGGGGGAAGGGCCAGATAGCCCTTCAAACGAAGATTTTTCGGGAGCACACTTCAAACGAAGGGGTATGAGAAGTGTCACTGCTAACCCAGGCTACAGACGCAAAATGGCTGCCCAAGTGAAAAAGGAGACCCATAAATGTACGTATTTGTGGCTTTAATAAGTATTGTAATGACGAATAATGATTTGCTTTATGTTACATTCAATTTTGTGTTCATATTTATGGTCAGTTTCTTCACAGAAACGTTTGTAAAAAAAAAAAAAACGATAACGATAGTCCCGCAACATATTTTCGTCGTCTCCGTTGTTTCCTGCGAACTTCACAAGATAAATGCAAGAAAATAGCTGTAACCCAGGCGACTGAGATAACTGCAGCTGTCGACGGCATCTTGGAAGTTGTGATAAACATCGGCGCATCTCCTGTGACGTAGGCGCTAGCGACGACTTATAATGACGTTTAACGGAGGCGTAGTGGTGTCCCATTTCTTAGGGGAATATTTTCACCCCTACGCATTGCCACTCTGTTTCAAGGGTTAAGGGGAAGGCCAAGGGGTAGGGCTAGGGGAAAGTGAAGGGGTAAGGGGTAGAATTGGGATTGGCCCATAGTTTGCGTCAGTGTGTTCTGCACTGTTGGCTTTAGTCGGACGGCGTCAGGGTTTTTTGGGGGATTATTCAGCATGTTGAATCAGCGTGATTGGCTGTTTAGCATAGCGAATTTATCAGTGCACGACAATAAAAGAGAAAGTGGTGAAATGAGCAAAGTCGTCAAGACGGTATAAACAGAAAAAGAGAGAAGACAGTATATTATACAGGCGTCTGCCTCTGTTGTGAATTGTAGTTGGTGTGTCTGCTTGCATTAAGCTAAGTCATTTATTATATATATATATAGCTTCTCCTGTATCTACAATGTCCATTTCCGTTGATATACTGAAACATTTCTCACATTTCAAGATTCCACTTTTTTTTTTTTTACATAAATTGAATTCGCAACATGAATGGAAACCTGGCACATAGAAAACATGCCTTGAACCTAGCAAGTTTTATGGGACTTTATAGGCACTTTAGACCTAGAAGAGGTTGCAAAATCATTGCTAAAGTTGAGAGTCATGATTACTTTTTTTAACCGTGCTGCTACAATATCAGGATTAGGAAGTATTTTACCTCTGAGAGGCAAGAATTGGCAAGTAAATAATGTAATGAGCGAGATGATGTTTACACGCACGAGGAACGATCGCTCGAGATGCGTTTTCACCTCATTGACAAAAAGGAAACATGAAATATGTGCAGCGGTCTGTGATACTCACTGAGAAATACTGCTCAGCCTCCAGCTGGTCCTGAAGTTCCCTCATCTGACCCTCATTTCCTCTGTACTGCCTGAGGAGACATGCTTCCATCAATCACAGTCACTTCAGCTTCACAAGAGCTATTTATTCAGACTCCACAGCTCAAGCCAGGAGAAATGAGTCCACCCACTAGCTCTTTTGTAACAGTAGGGCGAGTTGTTTCAAGCAAAAGACATTTTAAAGATAAACCAAGAAAATATATTTTGATAAAACATTAGACTCCTGAGACCCAAGAGTTTGCCTGGTGTGCATTTTATACTTGTTCTTGCAATTTGGGACCTAAAAAGTATCATAACTAAAATGTGTTATTGTACAGGAAGTAGTTTTTGCATAAAGGATGTCCTCATACAAAGACAGTGGGTCTATCTTATTTATTTTTTTATTGGAATAATGTCAAATGATGCATAACTCACAATAAGGTCAGGAACTTAAGGAAGCTTGTTTCCGCCAAAGAATGTCTTTTTGTCCCCAATGTAAGTTATACAGGTTCCTATGTGAACTTGTTTCTCTAATTGCGACTTTTTATCTCGCAATTACGAGAAATAAAGTCAGAATTGAGAGATAAAAATTCGCAATTCTCCTTTATATTTTTTTTTTATTCCATGGGAACAACAAGCTTCCATGGGAGCCTGTTTAATATAAATCAGTTAATGATTTTATGCAGACTTTGAGGTACGAAATCTTTTAACTTCCCCTCTGTCGGACTGAGGTCGATTCTTAATCCACCCGTGTAAATACTGGCAGCCAATTGTTTTGGCCAGCTTTAAACATAATCTGCAATAATAGCCTTTTCTACAACAGAAAAGCCTTCTAAATATTCATTACTATACTATATAATACTATTTTGTGTAATATCTGTTGCCAGTAAGGCATTTTATGCACAGAACTGTTACAAATAGGGTCCAAAATGACCATTAGAAATGCTTGTACAAAAAAACAAAACAAAAAGGATGTTAAAAGGATGGTTCACCCAAAAATGGGAATTCATTTCATTCAAACCCTTAAAACTTTGGTTAATCTTCAAAACATAAGATAAGACACTTTAAATGAATGAGAGGTTTCAGTCACTTCATTTAAAGTCCAGGTAATCAAAACTTAGAAGACCCTAAAAGACCATGAAGGCTGCTTAAAAATAATCCACATGAACTGAATGGTTTAATCCAAGTCTTGAAGAGATATGATTGCTTTATATTAGGGATGCACTGATATGAACATTTTGGGCCGGTACCGATTACTGATAATGCTTTATATTTGAAAGCCGATAGCTGATATGTTGGCCGTATAATTTTTGAGAGCCTCATTACAAAAACAAAAGTCTCACCATTAAAAGCATGTCCCAAGCAGACAATTATAATGTCCTCATAATTGCGCTGCACATGTTGAACATAAAACGTATTTTCCTTTTTTTCAGTGATTTCAATCATATATCAAGCAATTCAAAACCATCATGTTGAACAGTGCGCATCTGAAGTGTCTCAGCTAAAGGAAATAATCCATTATTTATCAGCTTTAAAGGGTTAGTTCACCCAAAAATGAAAATTAAGTCATTAATTACTCACCCCCATGCTGTACCAACCCCGTAAGACCTTCGTTCGTCTTCGGAACACAAATGAAGATATTTTTGATTAAATTTGAGAGCTGTATAACTACCACATCGGCTGCCTAAGGGACTGCCTCTTGACGGCCCAGAAAGTCAATGAAGAAAATGTTTAAATATCCTAAGTGACTACCGTGGCTCAACTATATGTTTATCAAGCGACGTGAATACTTTTTGTGCGAAAAAACAAACAAAAATAACGAGTTTATTCGACTATTTCTTTTCTTCCTTGTAGGCCAGAACGAGACTTCCTTAGATTTCCACGACGCATGCGCGAGAATTGCGATCTGAAGTGGTGTAAGCTGGTGTGAGCAGATCGCAATTCTCGCGCATGCGTCGTGGAAATCTAAGGAAGTCTCGTTCTGGCCTACAAGGAAGAAAAGAAATAGTCGAATAAACTCGTTATTTTTGTTTGTTTTTTCGCACAAAAAGTATTCACGTCGCTTGATAAACATATAGTTGAGCCACGGTAGTCACTTAGGATATTTAAACATTTTCTTCATTGACTTTCTGGGCCGTCAAGAGGCAGTCCCTTAGGCAGCCGATGTGGTAGTTATACAGCTCTCAAATTTAATCAAAAATATCTTCATTTGTGTTCCGAAGACGAACGAAGGTCTTACGGGGTTGGTACAGCATGGGGGTGAGTAATTAATGACTTAATTTTCATTTTTGGGTGAACTAACCCTTTAAAGGAGCTGTATGCAAGATTGTGGCCAAAACTGGTACTGCAATCCCTTTCAAATTAGGGTGTATCCCCGCCTTCCCCCATGACTCGAGGTTGCCAGATATGCTGCAGGTTCCAGCAGGAATGTAGGCTGCTACAAGAAGCTTCCAATGGCAAGTGACGAGTAGAGCCAGACCGATATATCGGCAGGCCGATATTAGGCATTTTCTAAAATATCGGTATCGGCAGTTATAATGGCCGATAAATGAATATTTCAAAAATAAAATAAAAACAGGCAAATCATGCTTCAACCATGTCATGAGTATTGGAGTTGTATAGTTTGTCCACCAGAGGGCACTCTACACCGTCCCTGTTGGCAACACTCGTGTATAACGCGCCACACATCCTACAACCTGCTTATCCAGCCAGAGTCAGGCAGAGAGAACCAGTCATGAATTATCATATTATTTTAGTTAAAGCTCTTAATTAACTACAAATAACTAATGTTAGGGAAATCTGATAATATTTTGTTACTCGTTTCGGAAATAAAAAAAAATAAAAATAATAATAATATCGGCCGATATATCGGAATATCGGATTTTAAAACCAACAAATATTTGTATCGGTATCGGCCTTCAAAATCCTTTATCGGTTGGGCTCTAGTGATGAGTACTACACCGTGAGTTTTTTTCTGTTAATTATTTATTTCGGACTTTGTAACAAAGTATTTCGGATTCATATCGAGTTTTTGGGGGTTTCGCAACGTTAGAATTTTTTTATTCGACAAGTTTGTAGGTAAATAGAGAGGAGCTGGCAACCCGAATGCCGCAACACTACTGACTCCGTGATTGGTAGATCGGTGGAGGGTGACGCATCATGACGAACAAAACACAACTTGAGAACATCAAAATCAGACAAGGCTGCGACTTCACTTTTTAAAGGACAATATCCTGGCTGGACTACTGTTGTCAGTGATATAAGTATTTGAAATGAACATGATTTCTTAATGTCTAATGACATTTCAGGGAAAATTTATGATTAATTGAAATAAATTTCTTGCATACAGCTCCCTTAATATATCAGCCCAATTTTTTTATCAGGTCGATAACGATAAAACCATAAATGAACATCATAAGTGCATCCCAACTTCATACAGTGAACAGAATATTTTAGGCTTTTATGGATATCATTTGGACCCTGTTTAGAAACTAGATCATTTTACTATTGCTGGCTAATAGTTCCAAAGTTGTCTTTTATTAAAAAAGGGAGATTTGTACATATATATTCCTGACCCTTTGAGGCCCGGAAAGAGCAAAAGAGCATACTTGGTGAGTTGTGCCAACTGGAACTCGACGGAGCGCTTGTTCTCGAGGGCCGCGTTGATCTCCTGTTTGAGCTGCTTCTCTGATCCTTTCAGGCGTTCAGCCTCCATCGTCCAGCTTTTCAGCTCGTTTTGGCACAGCGAACGCTTGGCGGACTCGTGCTCCAACTGCACCCGCAGCTCCTTGACCTGGTGGGGTGGAGAGAAGACGAAAGATGCCCAACTCGTAACACCTTTGACGGTTTGTAATCTTCTCGAGCCGAGCTGTCGACACTCACCTCGTCCTCCAGCCTCTCCTTCTGCTTCATCAGCTGCTCCATCTTCTGCACGGACTGCTTGAGGTCGAACTCCAGCATGGAGCACTGCTTCTCCACCTCCACCACCCTGCTCTCCGCTCGCATCCGCAGTGTGGTCTCCTCCGACACCTTTTGCTCCACCGCTGACGGAGAAACAGAGTCCGTCGATATTTGGCATTTCAAAATTTCGACAAATATGCAATTCATTGTATCGCTGTTAATTGTACCAGTTGTATTACTTGATGTTTTGCTCATACAATGGGGAACATGGCTTTATATATATTTTTAATATTATCTCATAATTTGGCAGCAGGTTTATTAGGCTGCTGTCACTTTAAGACCCGGCACAGTGATCCATTATACTGTTACACATGCGATTTCTTTCTCAACTGTTTACGTTCAGTAAAAACATAACTTTGTTTATGTGAAAACTCACCAAGACCAACATTTTGAATTTATTTTCTGTTTTGTTTGACTGTTTAAGCACAATAAGCAGCAAAAAGAAGTCAATTTAGTTCATTGAGGTGGCTTTATGTGTGCGCACTTTTATGTGGGTTTGAGCACAAAATCTGCAGAAATGACTTAAATTATGCGCAATCCCACACCGAAATTCCAGCCCTGTAACACTAACAATATTCATCTGGAGCAAATTAATGCAGTAAGTGAGGGGGTGGTGTCCGGACATGCAGCTAAACAAGACGCCGTGCAGTTCTGGACACGCAGTAAGATGGCATTTGTGCGTCTTGCACACACACGCATACCGTGCATAGCAGCTGACTTGGCTTCCTCGATAGACTCATATTCGTCTGTGAGTTGAGCCTTCGTGATGCGGTGCTCGGTCGATTCCTGGTCTAGCCGCTGCTGGAGAGTCTTCAGCTTGTAGTTCAGGTCAATTTCCAGACTGTTCTTCTCCTGAGGACACAGAGAACATAGAAACACCGGTTACACAAAAAACAGTGACCTCACACAGCCTACACATACAATAAAATGCATGTGGGTGGATTTTTCTTTCAGTTATCCTTGAGTGAGACTATGGCATGAGACTATGTCATCAAAATGGATTATTTTGGTGCAAATCTGAGTGTAACTGTAAACCAGTCTCATTCTACTGTGTGTAAAATGGTTATACATCTGAAACAGACTTTTTAATGGTGAGGCAGTTGCTAACAGTGAGAAATGTTAAATCCTAATGTTGCTGCCTTGGTTTCCATTCTAAGTGCATTGCTGAAAATGACTAGTTCAGTCATGAAACTGTAAGGTGAGGGTCCTTTATACAGTCTGCAAGCAATCACATTGTTTACTACACGTTCCAAGTGTGTCTATTACTGTAGCAGCAGCAGCATGTCTTACATGCTCACAGCAGATTGTCTGTGTATGTTTTGGGAGTGGCAAGTCTCCAAATTTGCTCTGCGGCAGCAGTCACGTCACTAGGACTACCCAGAGAAATACCATGATATATAGCCAAATCAGCTTAAATGTCAGAAAGCTTTGTATTTTCCATCCAGCCCAAACTCTATTACCAAAATAGTACTGACTGACCAACAAATCCTGTCGAGAGAATGGTTAAACACAAAATTAAGTCTGTTTTAGGAGCGTTATTTTTTAACATTTACTTTCCTGCACTGTCAGAATGAAAAAAAATGTAGCTTTAGACATTAAAGAGCTTATCACTGGAGCTGTACCCTTATAAAGACAATTTTGTACCTTATCTACCCTTAAAATTGATCATCTAATGCATGGAAAAGTAAATCAAAATAGTCATGCTGCAAAAAATATCTTAAAGGGATAGTTCACCCAAAAATGAAAATTAAGTCGAGAGAAAATTAAGCGACGAGAATACCTTTTGTGCGGAAAAACAACAAAAATAACGACTTTATTCAACTATTCCTTTTCTTCCTTGTAGGCCTGAGATGAGAGTTCAAGAGATTTCCACGACGCATGCGCGAGAACTGCGATCTAACTCCTTCTAGTTCAGTTCTCGCGCATGCGTCGTGGAAATCTCTTGAACTCTCGTCTCAAGCCTACAAGGAAGAAAAGGAATAGTCGAATAAAGTCGTTATTTTTGTTGTTTTTTTGATCAAAAAGTATTCTCGTCACTTGATAAACTTATAGTTGAACTTGAGCGACTGTAGTCACATGGAATATTTAAACATTTTCTTCAATGACTTTCTGGGCCGTCAAGTTTTGATCCCTTAGGCAGCCTATGTAGCAGTGATTCATCTCTCAAATTTAATCAAAAATATCTTGTTCCAAAGATGAACGAAGGTCTTACGGGGTTGGTACAGCATGAGGGTGACTTAAGACTTAATTTTCATTTTTGGGTGAACTAACCCTTTAATAGCCCGCAATTATCATGTAAAATATATTCAAAAATTGTATTTTAAAATACGTTTTTATTCATTTAAAAATAATGTAAAAACGGTAAACCTTCTCAAGAACGTTACATCTGTCTTGGACTTGTTTCCTCTCCAGCTCCACTTTGGACAAACTCTGCTTCACGTTCTTGTTGTCCTCCTGTAGACCAGTGATACGAGCTTCAAGAGACAAAGAACAGACTTAGATCCCACTGGATTATCACAGTAGTTGCAAAGGAAATGTTTTGACATTATAAAAGAATATTATCAACACTATTTGCACACCATAGAAAATGTTTTTATTAATTAAGAATTCAGACCTTCACTTTTTCACATTGTTTTGTTGCAGCCTTTTGCTAAAATCTTCAAATAATTTTTCCCACGTCAAACTAAACCCCATAATTCCAAAAAAACAAACAAACAGATGTGATAACTTTGTAAATTTATTAAAACGAAAAAAAAAAAAAAAAAAACTGAAATATCACACCGATACTAGGGGTTTCACAACTACTGATTTTTGCTAGTCGACTAGTTTTGCATAACAGTCGACGACTAGTCGACTAGTCGTTAAATGGTTTATTCTAGGGGTGCGATTTCACGAATAGTAAATGTCTCCACGTTACAGTGCATTCTATCAGTTCTGGCACCTCTGTCTCAACTGTACAACGCGACGTAGCCTACACATCACACTTTAAGGAATAGGTACGGGACACTGCAATTCACAAAAGTTCATTGTTTGCATAACCCTTGCCGGTTAAACATTTAATTCACGCGCTGTTCTAACGTGCGCTTTCCTGAGCGCGCGGCATATCCCCGACGCTCACAGGCATTAGAAGCCTGTCAAACAGCGCCTGAATACTGGACTAAGTTATCTTTCAAGTCTTATTATGCTAATACTGTTAAATACACACAATGTTTACATAAACAGAAAGTGAAAGCAAACATTTGAGAGAAAATCTGGTGTAGGCTAATATGCGTCTATATTAAACACGTCGCGTGCTGGTCTAAAGGCGAGAGTAGTACTCGTATTTTCCGCACTATAAAGCGCACTTAAAAGCCTTTAATTTCCTCAATCCGGCCTTTTCTCAAGCCTTATAATCCGGAGCGCATTATATATGGATCAATTGCTCGCGCTCGTGTCCATCTTATGCCCGCTTTGTCACACGGCCAGTTCAACCTCGTATAAATCAGGTTATGTGTGTCTCCCGCTCACGAGCGCTCTCTCTAACACACACACACGAACAGACACTGCTGTCCGCAGGCTGCGAATGTAAGTTACGTGCCCGCCCCAGTGCGCTCATGCTTACTAAATAAACGCCTCACCTCCGACGCCTCGCACTCGCCGCATTCCCTTTAGCACATCTAGTGGATGCATAATGCAAACCCAGTCAAACGTTTGAAAAATGTTCTAAAATAGGTCATTGAAGGTGCGCCTTATAGTGCTTATAGTATATAGTACTGACGCTTGTATTTAAAGGGATAGTTAACAAAAAATATATATCTATATATATGTCATCATTTTGTTTTCGACTAGTCGACTAGTTGATGAAACCCCTAACCGATACAAGTATTTAGATCCTTTGCAATGACGTTGGAAATTTTGCTCAGGTGCACCCCATTTCTCTTTGAGATGTTTGAGAACCTGTGGAAAATTTTGTGGAATGTTCCCCAATGATGCAAGCTAAAAACTATCTAAAATTTAAGTAGAAATGTATGTGTGTATGGAATCGTCTGGGGCGTCTCACCTTGCAGCTCCCTGATCTCCTCCGAGCCCTGGCTGCAGGACCGTCTCTCGGTGTCCAGCGTGGTCTGCAGTTGCAGAAGCTCTTTCTCCAGCTGCTGTTTGACACTCTCTGCAGCGCGACTCTTCTCCTGCAGCTCACGGTTCACTCCCTCCAGCTGGCTCATGGACTTGCTCATCTCCGTGTGGCTCTTCCTCAAGCGCACCACCGTGTCCGACTCAGCCCGCAGGAGGTCGTTGGCTTCCCCCAGCTGTGAGAGATGATGTTTCTCAATTATCATGTGGTGTAATCACCTTTCGAAGAACCACAGAGCCGCACTCGTCGGATGATCTTCTGAGGAAGTCATCCCACAAATGGCTTCCAAATAATTACACAATTTTGATACCACGGCGAAAGCTATTGAAAACCTTTTCCCTTTCCCTTTAACTATTTAAAGGAGTAGTTCACTTTTATTTTTTAAATGGCTGATCGTTCCGCTAGATAAGACGTCTGGTGTCGTTTAAAGTCCTTTGAAGCTGCACTAAAACTCTCATTTGGACCTTGAACCGTTTGGTTCCCATTGAAGTCCATTATATGGAGAAAATCCTGGATTTAATCAATTTCTTAATTTCTTTTCGACTGAAGAAAGAAAGACATGTGGACATCTTGGATGACGTGGGGGTCAGTAAATTATCAGCAAAAGTTTTTTTAAAAGTGAACTACTCCTTTAAATATATGAAAATAAAAATACTTACATTAAATACAATTAGTAAGTCAGTTATTAATGCTAATAATAATAAGTTAATAACACACTGAAGCATTAGCATGTAGCCTTCAAACAGTGCTTTAAAAATAATAATATTTTCAGTAATAGAAGAGTCTCAACTGTCAAAGCTTGAAGCTACGAAATGTCTTCGTTTTCTTTTTCTTGTCAGTGTTGCGGCAACAGGATTATAAGTCTGCATTTACACGACACAGATTTATCTGGACACTTTGAGGGTAATCTTCATTGTCAACCGTGAGCGGGGCTCAATGCTAAATCGTTTTTCTACTGCCCTAGTGAGGCCAGTGGTTGCCATTTTTACTTGCCTTAAAAACATATTCACTGGCGCAACCCCCTAAAAAAGTTATTTAAATTCGAGAAGTGTTCTTGATAAGCTTACTTGGTTCTGTAGCTGGGCAATCTTGTCATTGTTTTGACTGTGTTTCCTCAATTCTTCCAGTTGCTCCTTCAAAGTAGACACTAGAGAAAAGGAAATTGGCAACACACACATAAAAAAAGGATTTAATACTTGGATGGGGGGATGCTTTATCTTTGAAATGAAATGTGTATTATACAGACCTATATGGCACTTGGTGAATTATATTCATGTTAGGACTATGTCCTGTTTCCATTAGCTAATTTCCAGACTGTCATGGTCATAGATCAGACATACAGTATAACAGACTGCTCTTTGCTGGATGTGGTTTTCCACAGAACATTTAATGAACTGCAGTGTCCAACTCAAAAACCTGATTAAAGGGTTAGTTCACCCGAAAATTATGTCATTAATGACTCACCTTCATGTCGTCCCAAACCCGTAAGACCTCCGTTCATCTTCGGAACACAGTTTAAGATATTTTAGATTTAATCTGAGGGCTTTCTGTCCCTCCATTGAAATTAATATGCACCAGATAACACGTCAGCAGTGTCACTGAAGCGGATTGACAACAGAACGGAAGACAATACAATGCCGAATTATTTTTGGACCAAAATGCATTTCCGATGCTTCAAAACATTCTAACTAACCCTCTGATGTCACATGGACTACTTTGATGATGTCTTTATTTCCTTTCTGGACAAGGACAGTATACCGTACATACATTATCAACGGACGGACAGAAAGCTCTCAGGCTAAATCTAAAATATATTAAACTGTCTAACGAAGATGAACGAAGGTCTTACGGGCTTGGAACGACATGAGGGTGAGTCATTAATGACATCATTTTCATTTTTGGGTGAACTAACCCTTTAAGGCTGAGCAGTATGAATGAATATGCCATGAAAATGTAAACATTTTTACAAATGATAGAGGTTCTGCCATGGGGGTAAACTCCAGAAAGCAGGGTTGATGTTCCTTCACCTTAACCCGAAGCTCTCGAGTCGATTCACATTTATTTCTATAGCACTTTATACAAATCATGATACAAGACATGATACGGATTTCGATAAGTTGTACTCTATCTTTTAACACACTTTCAGATGCTCATTCATGTTTATTTCGCGCTGTGACTGGTATTATTAAGCCGGAAGAGAGATCAGCGCTGCTGCTTCTCCAGAGCGATCTCACGCCAAAATGGCAAAACGCTATTTATGTTTTTGAATTTCTAAAGAAAATGGACGTAATTTAAAAATTGAGACTTTGTTTCATATCAATAGTAACAAAGGAAAAAGATTTGTTGGATGCACGCAGCTGCGATACAATCGCTCATTCATTCAAATGAAACAGGATGACTAATCGATTCTTGAGATTTAAGAATCGATATCGGTTTGTAAAAATGAGAATCGATTAATATCGAGAAATCGATATTTATTACCCAGCCCTAGTAAAAATGGCCATACATTTTTTTTATATTATAGTTTTTTCTTTTTCTTTCACCATTTCATACTTTATTGAGAATGTTTGATGATGATAAATAAAAATTGTCTTGTGTTGTTATATTAAATTCATTTTTAACATTTGTTATATAAATGTGTTATTGAGTGAAACCTGAAGCCTTATCAAAATTAGAATGAGACCCCGACGACGACTCACCCTCGTTCTCCAGATTTCTTCGTTTTTCAGCCTCCTGGTCAGCCTTCCGTTGATGTTCTGTTGCTCGGTGCTGGATCATGATCTTGTCTTTCTCCAGTAAAGACATGCTAGCCTCCACACTCTTCCTTAGGTTACTCTGAAACACGTCAAGACAACAGAATGACTAGAAACCGAGAATTTAGTTTCACAAGATATAATTAAATTTAACTTTATCTATTGGAGGAGGCTTGCATACAAAATTCATATCCTCTGTATTCATTTAGATACACGCTTTAGAGATGAAATCATTTCACTCACCTCCTCATCTAACTCTTTCATTATCTTGTCTAGCTTTGTATTGGATGTCCTGAGGGGGAAACGAATCACAGAACAGATTTCAGAAGCCTGATTTTTTCATTTAACTTTAGGTTTGGAAATAGGAATGAGGAGATTAAATTGGGGAAAGATGGATTGATTGTTGGGGATAGATGGATCTTCACATGGGTGGCTGAGTTTGATTTGAGATTGAAGATGGTGATTTGGGATAGGCAGATGATGTATTGTGGGTGGGCTGGATGTTTGATGAATAGATGAGGCGTTTGATTGGTTTGGATCGGGTGTTTGGTTGTAGGTGGATAGATGATGTGTTTGGTTTGTTTGGATCGGGTGTTTAGTTCTAGATGACGTGTTTTATTGGTTTGGATAAGGTGTCTGGTTCTGGATGGATGACTGGATAAGGTGTTTTATATGTTTTGGACAGGATGTTTTGTTCTGGGTGGACGGATGGATGAAATGTTTGATTTGTTTGGATAGGGTGTTTAGTTCTGGAATGATGAATGGATAAGGTGTTTTATTTGTTTTGGATAGGGTGTTTGGTTCTGGGTGGATAGATGTATGAAATGTTTGGTTTGTTTTGAAATGGTGTTCGGTTTTGGATGGGTGGATGGATGGATGGATGAGGTGTTTGGTTTTGGATGGGTGGATGGATGGATGGATGAGGTGTTTGGTTCTGGGTGGATAGATGTATGAAATGTTTGGTTTGTTTTGAAATGGTGTTCGGTTTTGGATGGGTGGATGGATGGATGGATGAGGTGTTTGGTTCTGGGTGGATAGATGTATGAAATGTTTGGTTTGTTTTGAAATGGTGTTCGGTTTTGGATGGGTGGATGGATGGATGGATGAGGTGTTTGGTTCTGGGTGGATAGATGTATGAAATGTTTGGTTTGTTTTGAAATGGTGTTCGGTTTTGGATGGGTGGATGGATGGATGGATGAGGTGTTTGGTTTTGGATGGGTGGATGGATGGATGGATGAGGTGTTTGGTTCTGGGTGGATAGATGTATGAAATGTTTGGTTTGTTTTGAAATGGTGTTCGGTTTTGGATGGGTGGATGGATGGATGGATGAGGTGTTTGGTTTTGGATGGGTGGATGGATGGATGGATGAGGTGTTTGGTTTTGGATAGATGGATGAGGTGTTTAATTAGTTCTGGATGGATGGGTGGATGAGGTGTTTAATTAGTTCTGGATGGATGAGGTGTTTGGTTCTGGATGGATGGATGGATGGATGGATGAGGTGTTTGGTTCTGGATAGATGGATGAGGTGTTTAATTTGTTCTGGGTGGATGGATGAGGTGTTTGGTTCTGGATGGATGGATGAGGCGTTTGGTTCTGGATGGATGGATGGATGGATGAGGTGTTTGGTTCTAGATGGATGGATGGATGGATGAGGTGTTTGGTTCTGGATGGATGGATGGATGAGGTGTCTGGTTCTCGATGGATGACTGGATAAGGTGTTTTATTTGTTTTGGATAGGGTGTTTGGTTCTGGATGGATGTGAAGTGTTTGGTTCTGGGTGGATAGATGTATGAAATGTTTGGTTTGTTTTGAAATGGTGTTTGGTTTTGGATGGGTGGATGGATGGATGGATGAGGTGTTTGGTTCTGGATAGATGGGTGAGGTGTTTAATTAGTTCTGGACGGATGGATGAGGTGTTTGGTTCTGGATGGATGGATGGATGGATGAGGTGTTTGGTTCTGGATGGATGGATGGATGGATGGATGAGGTGTTTGGTTCTGGATAGATGGATGAGGTGTTTAATTAGTTCTGGGTGGATGGATGAGGTGTTTGGTTCTGTATGGATGGATGAGGCGTTTGGTTCTGGATGGATGGATGAGGTGTTTAATTAGTTCTGGATGGATGGATGAGGTGTTTGGTTCTGGATGGATGGATGGATGGATGAGGTGTTTGGTTCTAGATGGATGGATGGATGAGGTGTTTGGTTCTAGATGGATGGATGGATGAGGTGTTAGGTTCTGAATGGATGGATGGATGGATGGATGAGGTGTTTGGTTCTGGATGGATGGATGGATGAGGTGTTTGGTTCTAGATGGATGGATGGATGAGGTGTTTGGTTCTGGATGGATGGATGGATGAGGTGTTTGGTTCTGGATGGATGGATGAGGTGTTTAATTAGTTCTGGATGGATGGATGAGGTGTTTGGTTCTGGATGGATGGATGGATGGATGAGGTGTTTGGTTCTAGATGGATGGATGGATGAGGTGTTTGGTTCTGGATGGATGGATGGATGAGGTGTTTGGTTCTAGATGGATGGATGGATGAGGTGTTAGGTTCTGAATGGATGGATGGATGGATGGATGAGGTGTTTGGTTCTAGATGGATGGATGAGGTGTTTGGTTCTGGATGGATGGATGGATGGATGAGGTGTTTGGTTCTAGATGGATGGATGGATGAGGTGTTTGGTTCTAGATGGATGGATGGATGAGGTGTTTGGTTCTAGATGGATGGATGGATGAGGTGTTTGGTTCTAGATGGATGGATGGATGAGGTGTTAGGTTCTGAATGGATGGATGGATGGATGGATGAGGTGTTTGGTTCTAGATGGATGGATGGATGGATGAGGTGTTTGGTTCTGGATGGATGGATGGATGAGGTGTTTGGTTCTAGATGGATGGATGGATGAGGTGTTTGGTTCTGGATGGATGGATGGATGAGGTGTTTGGTTCTAGATGGATGGATGGATGAGGTGTTTGGTTCTGGATGGATGGATGGATGAGGTGTTTGGGAGGTTTTGAATGGTTGTGTGGTGTGGGTGAGGTGTTAGATTGGTTTAGATGGACAGATGAATGGTTGGATCAGGTTATTTGGGTGTATATGCAAGCAGACAGATAAACACCTGCACTTCTGCTCCATCTCGTCTCTCAGCTGCATCTCACTGTTAAGTTTTTCTTCTAGCTGATAAATTCTCTTCTGAAGATTCTCCAACTGAGTGATCAGAAAAACACAATCAATCATCCTCAAAGTTTAAGACACATACTCACTATTATAATGCAATAAACTGTTTTTAGAGGTTCTTACGTGACTCTTATCTTCCTTTGTCGAGCTGCGTTTGTCACTCTTTACAGGTGATTCCCGAGGAAACCTGATGATGGGAGTAGATCATTAATCCTTTTTTCTCACTTTTACCAATCTAACACAAACCCCTGGGATCTAAGCACTGACTTCCTGTACTCACTGGTTATTGCTGTAGTAGGTGAACCCCACAAACGGAAGCTGGTTGCCTACAAACGCTTTAGGAATGGGGAATGTCTCCTCCTCCCCTCGATCTTCCTCAATGTCGTCAAAGTTGCTTGTGTCTACGTCACTGCTTAACTCCGGCACCACTGGAGCAGCCGCTACAAGCAACGATGAAGTAGTACATTTTAATGAGAACAAACAAAGAATGCTACAAATGCAGAAGGTAAAGTTTGATGAAAGGAAGATTTTTTTTTAAGCAAAATTACAAAAAAAACATTGCCGGAAACTGGTGAATACGATTCCAATGGAGTAAATTTGGCCAGGACACCGGGGTTACACCCCTACTCTTTTACGAGAAGTGCCATGAGATTTTTTTTGTGACCACAGAGAGTCAGGACCTTGTTTGTCTCATCCGGAGGACGGTGCTTGGTACAGTATAATGTCCCCGTCACTACACTGGGGCGTTAGGACCAACACAGACCCCAGGGTGACCACCCCCTACTGGCCTCACTAACACCTCAACCAGCTGCAACCGAGTTTCCCCAGGAGTCTCCCATCCAGATACTGACCCGGCTCAACCCTGCTCAGCTTCAGTGGGCGACCAGTCTTGGGCTACAGGGGGATATGGCTGTGGTATTTGTGACTGTTCTGTTTATAACACTTCCCGCTGCAAGTTGGTGGTACTATGGCTGTGACTCGCTCACAATAGGCACATCCATGAGACAAACCATCATTACCAGACCTACAGCTCAAGTTTGACGTAAATCACTCAATCCATGCCGAATATTTCATACACTCCAACAGGATTTCTTTTGTAATTTTGCCTGGCTCAGTTACACAATTGTGGGTGGAGTTTGTGTAAATAGCCTCTGCCAACAAGGCTATTTACACTTGGTGTGAATAGATATCTTAGTATATATTAAGATTGCAATGGATTCTACTGCGCACGTGTTTATTTCTAAAGGAAATGTGAGTGTTTGCCGTGGACTTGTTATGCAGTTGCTTTGTTGTTGCTAAGGTGTTTTGGATGGTTGCATTAAAACTCAAGTCAAATTGGCCAGATTTACTAACAGATTTACCAGCGCAAACCCTTTTTTTGGCATTAAAAAAACTACTGTCAGGACTAAAGACAAAAATTTGTGCTGAAAAGGCACGGACAGGGTTATTTTTGCGGCTGATCTTATTGCATATGCATTTGTAAGAGTTTCTATTTCTGATGATGATGCAAGGTAATTTACTAAGGTCTGCGCTAGTCAATTAACTGCTGTTTGCGCCAATCTTTACCGCCCCAAAAACCAAAGTCTTAGGGTATGTTTACACGTCATCGATATGCTTAAAACGGTTTTCCCCATACTTAAAAAATTGTCAAAACAATCCTCATTCACACGGATCCGCGAAAAACGACTAAAAACGCTGTATTTACTGCCAGGCCATTAGATGGCGATGAAACACTATAGACTAAACACGTAACACGCATGTGCAAGACATCATCGTCTTCTTTCATGCTTTTGTTGTTTAAAATGAAGACCGTTTTCAAAAGTTTGCGTATTCAGGCAACCAAAACGCTGTTGTCATGTAACGTGTTTTTTTTTGTGCTGAAAATGGTGTCATGTAAAACAGCCCCTTAAACAGATGCTAATTTGCGCTGCTCTTGGTAGATTGCACTGGCCAATATGAAAATGATACAATAAGGGCCAATCCCAATTCTACCCCTTACCCCTTCCCTTTCCCCTAGCCCTACCCCTTCGCCTTCCCCTTGACCCTTGAAACAGAGTGGCAATGCGTAGGGGTGAAAATATTCCCCTAAGAAATGGGACACCACTACGCCTCCGTTAAACGTCATTATAAGTCGTCGCTAGCGCCTACGTCACAGGAGATGCGCCGATGTTTATCACAACTTCCAAGATGCCGTCGACAGCTGCAGTTATCTCAGTTGCGTGGGTTACAGCTATTTTCTTGCATCTTGTGAAGTTCGCAGGAAACAACGGAGACGATGAAAATATGTTGCGGGACTATCGTTAGCAAACTACAGTAATTTTAGCGATTTTTTTTTTTTTTTACAAACGTTTCTGTGAAGAAACTGACCGTAAATATGAACACAATATTGAATGTAACATAAAGCAAATCATTATTTGTCGTTATAATACTTATTAAAGCCACAAATACTTAAATTTATGGGTCTCCTTTGTCGCTTGGGCAGCCAGCCTGGGTTCTCATACCCCTTCGTTTGAAGTGTGCTCCCGAAAAATCTTCGTTTGAAGGGCTATCTGGCCCTTCCCCCTAGCCCTCCCCCTCCAACCAAAAGAGAATTGGGACAGCCCTACCCCTTCACGTGGACGCGCAAAACGGAGGGGAAGGGGAAAGTGAAGGGGTAAGGGGTAGAATTGGGATTGGCCCTAAATGTTTTTTAATTTGCACGTCGTCAGTAGATCACGCGCAGAACTTTCCACTCCCATCGGCACTTTTATTGGATTGGATTGGCTAATTTGTCTTGTTCTGTAAATCTGGCCCTTGGTGTCTAGATCACGTCAAACTCTGCATCTCCAACCAGCTCCAAAACACCGGCCTGGAAGTTTCTGAAGTAATCCTGAAGTCCAGCAGGTTCAGGTGTTTTTATCTATGGTTGGAGCTGAACTCTAATGGAACTGAGTTTGACACCCCTGGTCTAGATGGTTACTTTTTTATTTGATTGTACCGTGCATTAGAGTGCATTTGAAAAAGGAAACTCTGTCAGTGAAGAGCTCAACTCAACCCTCATGTTCTTTCAACCTGTGTGCATTCTGTTGTTGTTGTTTTTTTGGTCCATATAATTAAAGTCATGTCTTTCAGGTATGTCTTTCATACCTTAGTATATACAGTAGATGGTTTCAAAGATAAAAGACAAGAATCAAAATGGTTCGAGTTTGGAAAAGGAATTTCGGAAACTCAACTCACTCTCTCTGATGTTCTCCCATGCCCACTGGTCGTTCTTGAAAAAACCGTGTCGCTTGATTTCATCGACTCCATTGCGTCCTAACCGCACTTCCCTGGCGAGAGATGAGTTTTGAGACAACATCCTTTCGTTCAACCCCTGATATGCAACTGATCAGTGCTGGAAACACATAATATATATTATTTGTAGTTTAACATTATTTTTTTTGTATGCAAACCTATCAGTGAGGAAAGCACAGATGAGGTTTTTTGCATCCTTTGAGATGTCGCTGTCCTCGGGGAAGGTCAGGGCATTCTTGTGATTCATGATCTTGCTGTAGGTGCCCACCAGAGAGTCAGCGTAGAATGGCGTGTCACCTGAGGATACATTGAACAACACACAACACTTATTCTTCTGAATGCTTCCTCTATGCCAATCTTTGTGATCTGTTGGCAAGTCTCATATTCTTAGGAATGTGTCTTCGTCTTTCGAGTTTAGTTTCTAAGAATTGAACCTGGAGCCAAAATGAATGAACAGCTACTCTTGTGCTTCTGTCAAGACCTCTCCTCTTGATGCAGGTCTCTATGCTCAGAAGAGTAGCTTTTAATAGACAACTTTTATGGTAATTTGCAACATGAGGATTCTAAACAAAGCAGTTTGAAACGTGACGCGGTAAAAAGACAAAAATAATACGAATAATAAGAGAACACGTCGCTCTGATGAGCTGTCCATGCACAAACACTATGTACTCCGATTCACCAATATATATCTTATAACCTGGTTATTTAATCCAATCATACAAGTTACCAGTTTATACATAAATCAAGAACACTCCTTTTAAAAATCCCTTTAGCTGTCAATATCTTCTGCGAAAACTCTAGGTACAATAACTGAAGCTGACTACTCTACAATCTGTTGTTTTCAACGAGTTTGCACTGCTTCATTGATTATAACGAGAGGTCGCTGAGCTCAACCTCCAATAAAACTCTGTTCTGAGCAGCGGATCATCAATCTCATTGACTACCATAGTATATATTTTTTCCTACTATGGAAGTCAATGAGACCAGAAACTGTCTGTTCACTGATATTCTTCTAAATATCAGAAAATCGGCTGAATACATTAGAAAACGGTAAAACCCAACTGTTTAACTCTGGGGAGTTGTAAAATGAGCCTATTTCCAAAAAAAAAGTGGAGTATCCCTTTAAACACTTCTGATTGGCCATTGTGTTAAGGTGTTCAAAACCACAAGGTAAACCTTAACCTTTAATGCTCTTCAAAGAGTTAACTCAAATATGCTCTGGAACTAAATACGAAAACTAAATTTAGTTAGTGTTTGTAGGGCTGTGAAACGATTTATCACGATTAATCACATCCAAAATAAAAGTTTGTTCATCTATAAAAAGCCAAGCCAATGTTGATTCTGGTTTTATTACAAACTCTGTTGTGTTTTTCTTCTTTTTGCCATCAGACTCTCCTTGTTTCGGCGTTTGTAAAAACGGGTGATTCCAGCTTTCTCAGTCGCTGTGACAATAATCTCGGATATGACGAGACGCATGTACGCAGTTTCCCGTGTATAAATATAAATACTAATAATAGACTTACCAGAGTGGTAAGGGTAAGACAATAATTCATTTTGGGAGAAGGACTGATAATGTAATGACTTTAAATCTTGTTCATTTTGAACCAAAAAAGGTGGACCTGTACATAGTGTACCTTTAAATAATAGAAACAAACGAATACAACATCCTCACGTTTAATTAATAAACATTTTAATTAAGGCTGTCAGTTAAACGCGTTATTAACGGTGTTAAAGCAAATGCATTTTAACGGTATAAATTTTATTTATCGCGTGATTAACTGTCTTTTTGGCCTAGCAAACTTTGTCGTTTTTTCACATGCTTTTGCTACAGGACACTGCATGCACGGCGCTACACTCTGATATTGGGCTATATTTTTTCTGCATGTCATGTGCAAAAAAACAAACAATAGCATATTAATGTTGTGACAATATTTAGCATATAAATCCACGTATGGGAATCGGACTACCGCTTTAATACTCCCATGCAAATCAAACCAACTGTTCATAACAGAGGAATCGTCTATAATACGGTATAGTACAGTAAAGTAAAACGCAAGCACATGACATTTGCTATGCTGCTTGAATCTGTTCTGAATAACATACTATTCACAAACATATTCACTTAAGCTTAATTTGCTCCTTTGAATATGAATTCTTTTACCTAAAGTGTTTTTCTTAGATTCCCCACTGACTGCAACCGTCAAATCTGACCCAATGGCACAGAAAGCTTGACTAACACTCATGAAAAATAAAAGTTCGCCTGATATTCTATGGGCAAAAGCTGCAAAAGCGAGACTGACGCGAAACTCACCAACGAGCATCTCGTAGAGGAAGACCCCCACAGACCACCAGTCACACTCTCGGCCATAGTAGCCGTCTCCTCCCTGCGACTTCAGTACCTCTGGAGAAATATAGTCTGGAGTTCCCACAGCTGTGTCACATCGTACCATCCCATCCTGAGGAGGAAAAGAACAGAGTTTACTGCAGAGAAGAGACTACAGCAGAACTGAGAGAACAGTAACCCCTAGTTAACCCCTAGTTGCTCCAGAGGCGTGCGACCTCTGACATATATAGCAAATGTAAGTCGCTTTGGATAAAAGCATCGGCTAAATGAATAAATGTAAATGTAAGTACTTTGCAGGAATGGTTCAGGATGTCATTCACCAACTGATTTGCTCATTTTTGTAGATATTTTTTTAATTATTCTTTTGATTTTTAATATTTTTTAGTGGATTGCTGTAAACAACATTTACTGCTCTGTGAGGCAGAACGCTGTGATTTCATCCAGTATTATCTAAAGGATAATATACATTTTTTGAAATGTTTATATACAGTTGTATTGATAACTATGATGGTGGGTTATTCTTGAGTCATATCTAAGTAGACAAGCTAAACAATTTTTTATTGAATGATGATGAATGCCAATTATTCTTACTTTTGTCTGTATATCAAATGCAGTAAACTTCATAACTGACTAGTTACGTTATAAATGTGAATAGTTTTGTTTTCCCTTTATGCAATTGTTGAATTTTAATTGTTAAATGTCTTAATTTCCACTGAACTTCAAGAATGGGGATATAATTGATGTAATTTCCCCAAATACGATTCGTACACAGTGTGATTTACAATATATCAGGAGAAATTCTATCATACAGTAGTCTATCATAATATTTTTAAATATTATTAAAACTGAGTTAAAGATATTAAGCGTATTGCATAGTTGTGCTTGTAGCAAACTGTTTTATTTGTGAGATTGCAATGAAACATGCCAAATTATAGTCAGGCTGTCATGCAAAAACACAAGAGAGAATCAACAAAATATTAATAACTGATTATGTAGTAGTCAATGTATGTGTTTTCCTGTGAGGGTTTTGTTGTTCTCTGCAGTTTTCCTATAGCTGTGGTTTGCCTGTCAGACAAATATCTTAACCGAGTTTAGTGTTTTGTTTTTCCTTCATATTTAAAATAGATTAATCCTCATATTTTGATGGTTTAATTGAACTTGTCGAATATCACCCCAGGACAACACCTTTAACCTCTACTATAGAAGTATTGTGGGAATATACTGTACTGTGCCGTCCTAAAAAGGTACAATCAGATGCTTCACAAAAACATTTGTTTCGAGACAATTATTTATACACACACATGCGACTTTTAAGAAAACGTGTAGTTTCGCACATCTCTCGTACCTTGTTCATTTTCATGCATGTCCCAAAGTCTGCCAGCTTCAAGTGGCCAGCCTTGTCTAGCAACATGTTGTCAGGCTTCACGTCCCTATGACGAATGTTAACATAGGCATATTGGTTATCTTCAAAAGTTCAAGCAAGCACACTAGAAAAAAGTGAAAGTGCGGTTTGATGTGTGTGAGAGACCTGTGAATGAAGCCCATGGAGTGGATGCCGTCCAGTGCCAGCACGACCTCGGCGGTGTAGAAGCGTGCCCACTTCTCAGGCACATCATAGTTGCTCATGAGGTTGACCAGGTCTCCGCCTGGCATATACTCCATCACCATGTAGAGGTAGCGGTTGTCTTGGAATGCATAAAACAGCTGGATGACATAAAAAAAAAAAAAAATCATAGATCTTAATAAACATCTCAAATGTGTATGTTCACTTCAGACAAGGATTCTTCCCAAAGTAGGCATTTTCGAATGTGCGGGTTTTTTTTAATTTGACAAATATTCGAAATTCTAATTTTTATTTAACAGCCTTAAGGCCTGTTCACACCGGGATGAATTTCGCTCGCGATATTCGTCGACGTTTAACGCCTCATGACTAAACAATGGGCGCCAATGTGAGTGTTCACACCGACGCGAAAAACGTCACGCGTAAAAGCGTAATTTTTTAAAAAACGCTTCGGGTTCGTTTTTTTTGTTTGACGCGCCGCGTCAAAACCAATCCGACCAACGAGATTGGCGGGTTTGCTCACGTGTCTGGTACTTCTAAAAATACAGTAAAACACAACTTGAGGGCACTCAAACACAAAACGGTCTTGCCGAGCACACATACGGCGAAGAAGAGATAAGATACCCATGGGCAAGATGAATGTTGAGCTGCTGGTCTCGGAGCATAAAGAGCTATATGATAATATTTATATTAGTATTTCTGTAATAATAGTATAGTATAGGGTGACTAATAGTCCTGTTTTTTCAAGGGACATGTGTAAAACGGTCACTTTGTGCTTTATAGAAATCTGAGTTGAGATGAGAACTGCACATATAGTGTGCGTAGTGTCAGTTAGATTTTGACAAGTGAGGAGAGGAGAACCGCTCTGCCGACTCTTTGTATTCTTTCTTTTCTTTTATTTTTCTATTGTGACCAGATCTTTGTTTTTTTTTTCTCGCTCGATCCCCATGAATGAGGACGAGTGTGACGTTTGAGTGTTTTTATTAAACGCAGGGAAATACGACAACTCTCGTCTCTCGTGCATCTGTTCATCCGACAACTGTGCTATGTTTTTATCTCTGGGCAACATCTCAAATTGCGTTACACATGTCCTGTTTCCACGTCCTGTCCTGACTGTTTTTAAGTGATGAAAATGTCCTGGTTTTAAAAAAAAAACTGCTGGGAAAGAAGATCAGTCCTACAGCAAAATATAGATGGGCAAACAAGGTGGACGAGGAAGAAAAACAAGATAAAGAGGATGAAAACTAAAGATATAGATTTTGTTAGTTCGTTTTTGTAAGTTTGTGAGAGCTATTTTTTGTTACATTTGGAGGCATTTCTTTTAGTTATTTATTATTTATATATTTATTTTTCTAATACAGAAGACATTATTTCTATCATTATTTCATTCGTTTTTTTTCTATCTGTCATAATAAAACATTGAGACATGAATATGATCACCCTAGTATAGTATTCTATTATTATTTCTGTTTTACATTAAGCGCCATCTAATGTCAAGGAATGAATTTGCATGTTCACTCGGCTCATCGTCAGCGAAAAACGCTTGGGTGTGAACACAAAAAACGCGTTGAAAAACGCTGACGAATAACGCGCGCTGATATTCGTCCCGGTGTGTACGGGCCTTTACTGGTGACGGACACATTTTCATATTCTAAAGATAAGGCAACGTTATTTTAGCACGATATTCAGTCAACTCAATTCATTAATATGCGTGACTGAGGGAGAGAGAGCAAGACAGTTTGAAGACGACGCACGCGCGACCGGGGCTTTCACTCTCTCTGCTCGCGCAGCAGTCAGTCATCTTCATCTACATCACTCACGGGTCAAACATCATCGGAACATCGGAACGATATGTGTAAAAAAATTGACCACCACTACAATATGTTCTAGAAAGCATTAAAAAAAAATACACTTAACATGATCAAAAGCAACAAAAATAATAAGCTTTATGCTGAGGGTCACATAAAGCAAGAAGAAAACAGGTCTGATCGTATCCGCTCGTGGGAGAAAGTGTTAGCAGACATACGAGCTGCCGGCGATATCTATGCACTTTTAAGCTAATCAGCTAACCTAGCTAGCTATTTTTATTTTTTGCCATTTTATTCAACTTAAAGGAGTGGTTCACTTTTGAAAAAACTGTTGCTGATAATTTACTCACCCCCATGTCATCCAAGATGTTCATGTCATTCTTTCTTCGGGTGAAAAGAAATTAAGGTTTTTGATGAAAAAATTCCAGGATTTTCTCCATGTAATGGACTTCAATGGGAAAAAACGGTTCAAGGTCCAAAAGAGAGTGTCAGTACAAACTGTTCAAAGGGCTTTAAATGATTCAAGGCGATGAATAAGGGTCTTATCAAGCGAAACGATCGCTCATTTAAAAAATAAATATGAAAGTTAAAGTTTTATAAGCTCAAATGCTCGCCTTGCTCTGTTCTGTGACGCACGTTTGTGACTCTCCTGTTCAAAGTCGTTCATCAAAATGAACCAATCTTTTTCCGAGTCAATTCGTTCGTTGAATAAACCAAATGACTCGGAAAAAGAAAAATGCTGGAATGTTTTCATCAAAAACCTTAATTTCTTTTCGACTGAAGAAAGAAAGACATGAACATCTTGGATTGACATGGGGGTGAGTAAATTATCAGTAAAAGATTTTGAAAAGTGAACTACTCCTTTAAATACCCTAATTTTAATGGGAAGAAGAAAAGCTTTTAGAAAACGATCTGCATATGCGATGGACATTGTTTATAGCTCCAGCATTCATAGCCGCTTTGAAGGCTTCTTGAGCACGTTATATTTAAGGAAGCGCATACATAACCTGAATATAATGTATTTAAATCTGTTTTTATATCAACTGGACATCCACCCACATTCAAGACAAATCACACAGCTGATTATGATTAATAATCATAATTAATCATTTGATTCATACCTGTACTACCCAATTACTATTGGCAAAGGCCATAATATCTCTCTCTTCCCAGAAGAAAGCCGAGTCCGACCTCTTGATCATCTCAAACTTGCTGAGCAGCTTCATGGCGTACACTTTCCTCGTGGCTTTGTGCCTAACCTACAGAACAGGAAGACAGGGAACATGAATGAATAGAGCTAGCTATTTACTTTACCTTCACTGAACTATGACAAACTAAAGGAAACACTCGTGTGAGAAAATAACACTCGTATGACTTATACTGTATTCACACAGACGGAAAGTTAAAAATGTAAGGCAAAAACAAACTGTACATGTAGAAGTGCTGGGCAGTGTGAGCGGGAATCTGGATTCTAGCAGTGCCACTATTTTTCTGTCAATGGTGGACGAAGCAGTTCATGAATAAAGTAAAAGAACAAATAGCTTCCCTGATAAAATATTACTCCAGTAAAAGTACTTGTTTTGTAATGTACTTAAGGTGAACCGTGATTATTTACACTAGAAGATTAGTGCAGACGATTTGCAAAATAAAAAATTTCAATTTTATCGGCGAAACTTAAAAAAAAAAAATGATACTAAAATATCAATTTAAGGTTTATGTTAATATTTAAGTTATTCAAGTGTACAAACAAAATTAAAGTTTGTGTTTAAATAATATATGTGTATACTGTGTATAATTATTTTAGTGAATATTGCCGTATATTAAAAATTAATATCATAACAAGAATATACACTGGTATTTGGTATGAACCGGTATATCGCCCAGCACTACTTTGTGCTATAAGTCTTTATTTAAAAAAAAAAAGGATTCCCAATGTACACAAAATAACCACATTACTTGCTTTTTATTCAAATTTTTCCAAACTATTTCTTTATTTGTGAGAAACACTAATAGGGATCAAGAAGTTGCCATCTAAAGTAAGCGTTTAGTTTAAAGATTCTTTTTCAAAATGAATTTTAAAAAATATAAATAAGGCTTTATGTCGGCCATTCTGTTCTCGAAGATATCGGCCATTTAAAAAAACAAAACAATATCGGTCGACAATAAAAGGCGACAATACGAGATACACTTACCAGTTGAACTTCTCCAAACGCCCCTCTTCCTATGACCTTTACCACTTCATAGTCCTCTGCTCTCATACGCAGTTCCCGAATCTTGCTGATCGTGTCCTTATCTAGAAACAAACACACACATACATAAACAATATAACCCACAGCTGCATAAAAAGGGACGTTTTTATAAAGCGCTTTGGAGATTCATATTTTGTGAATTAATGTTTTTTGCACAAAGCACTCGTGTCGCTTCATAAAGGTTAAACCACTGGAGTCGCATGGATTTCTTCAATGATGTCTTTACTTCCTTTCTTGACCTTGAAAGTGGTAGTAACATAAGCAGTCGATGGACTCGGGAAAGAAAGCTCTCAGATTTGATCAAAAAGATCTTCATTTGTGTTCTGAAGATGAATGAAAGTCTTTCGGGTTGAGAGAGAGAAATTAATGACAGAATTTATGAGTGAGCTATCACTTTAATTCTACACCGCTTGCCACCTTTCTGTTTTGCATCACAGGCCGTATCATTTCTGTGCTTCAGTAGAGCAAATCACAGTCCTAAAGCTGGACTACCTGACCGTAGCGCACTCTCTCAGTGTTTGCATCGGCTGTCAGTTGGTCCAGCTCGACACCGAATGGCACGTTTTGCCACAAGAATTGTTCGTCACAATTAGGGATGGGCAACGATTAATCGCGATTAATCACATCCAAAATAAAAGTTTGTGTTTACATAATATATGTTTGTGTAATGTGTATAATTAATTTGTATAAATAAATACCCACACATGCATGTATATATTTAAGAAAAATTTGTTATTAATATATCAAATATTTATATTTATATATAATATTAATTGTGAATAAATATATATAAAACATATACATAAACATATTTCTTAAATGTATACATGCATGTGTGGGTATTTATATTTACAAATTAATTATACACAGTACACAAACATATATTATGTAAAAACAAACTTTTATTTTGGATGCGATTAATCGCGATTAATCGTTGCCCAACCCTAGTCACAATGGTGGAAAAGCAGCAAGAGTGAGTTCTAATATAGTCCTGTAGATCTCCCCCCTCCAATCATAAACCATTTAATCATAAGCACTTCTGGCTGTGCCTTTAGACAAGCATCTGCATATTGTTAAGAGTCCATTAACAAACGCGAGGGAGGAATTATTAGACAACCTCGCTGTAGGAGGAAGTGAAAAGGAATCCACTTAGGTGAGTTTGTGTAGCACTGAGGGATTTATCTAACAGTTCTGCTTTCTTAGCGGACGGGTAACCTTCACACCGATTTAGTCATCGCAGGGCAAGAGCCATTCTTTTCTTACTTGAGTCAAAAGTACGCATGGAAGAGGCAGAGGGGCAGACAACAGATTTTAAAATACAGGAGAGACACAATACAATTTGAATCACATTCATTCAATTTAACGATTCGTTCAAGTTTGAAAACGTCAAAACAAATAGGGCAACTGCGCACTTGCACATGTGTCTCATTACAAAGCGTTTAAATAATAGTAAAGAAATGTAAATGTATAATGTGAATTGACACACATTTATGGTTAATGTATTTGTAAACCTGTTTGGGCATCTTACTTTAAATTAATTATTAATAAAGGAGAGTTAAAGGCACAATATGTAATTTTTCGCCGCTAGAGGTCGTATTATTCTAAACAAAGGCGTAGTTTGATGATGCCTGGATTTCGCTGAATCGTGGGAGTTGTTGTCTTAACAGTCGGTGGAGAATACGATGGCACTCGGGCAGAAATCTTATTTAAGAATTATTACCGTTACAAAAGCCGTTGGAGTGGAACGAGGCCACTGGAGCGATTGCTAATGAGGGACGAGAGCAATGGAGCTTTTGTTATCCCGCAAACTGTGGTAATGCAGCGCTGTTTTAATATTAGATACATTTGAGAGTGATGAAAGTTGTTATAATGCTAACTCTGTGCGTTCGCTTGGCGGCTACTCTATGAGACAATTGTTGTACACGGCAGGAAGCTGGAGCGATATCAGGTATGGTGAATTTACTCGCGGTAAATCAAGAAAACAAGATTTCAATGATTTCAGATTGTCTGTCGATGGACGTATCCATCAACAGTTGCTCAGCTGTCAAATAAAACATCATATATTAAAGCGTCTTTGGTGTCCTGGCTAAAACTGGTTATTTATCTGGATTTAAACATTCTTAGAAACACTTGGAATAATGTAACTACACATATCAACAAAATATATAACATCGTTTTAGTGGTTTTTGGATATTTGAATCCAAAACTCTTACATATTGTGCCGTGCCTATAATTTTACAGGACCTTATATAAAAACAGATTCTATTTAATGTGAAATTATCTGATTTTAATGAGAAAACATTACGTAACGTGTCACCATTTACATCTGAATTCTCCGTGTACATTCTTCCAATGCAGACATAAGCATGTAATTGGCCATTTGTTTAAAGTTGGGAATTTTACCTACATATTAAAACGATTTCATACATTGTTACTTTGTTTATCCAGCTTGAATAGACAATAAATGTTACAATTCATTGGCATAGATATATAATAGAAACTAATCCTGTGTGACTGAAAAAAAACAGTGACTTTAGTGCAGTAATTCTCAAAGTGTGGTCCGCCATCGCCCCCTAGTGGTCCGCGAAAAGATGACCTAAACTAGGCAAGTGTTTACAAAATTGTCACTTTTTCGCACGTACCAGTGTGATCAGTCTTCTTGGCTGATCCCTGGAGCATACGATCACACCGGTGTGATTAGAACGGTCAGTGCATCACATGATCAACTGCTAAATTCAAATTGTGCTTCCCCGCGTTGGCTGGCGCTGAGCCAGAGACGGGCGCACTCAGTGCTGCTGTCATATTCACGGACGCAATTTTCTATGGCAGGGGTCGGCAGCCCCCTAAACGTCTGCCTAGCCCCCCTAAAAATTTGTGATTAATGTAGGCTAGGAATTCATGTTCGCTTCAGTCTTGATTTAATCAGATTTGCGCGTTCTTCATCCTCAATCCGCAGCGGTTCAGAGCAGAGAGCACGTCAGAAACAGAGGACAGTGTGTGTGTGTGTGTGTGTGTTCATCTCGACGTGCACGGTCAAGTGCGATGTAAGTAGCTAAACTTAAAGGAACACTCCGACTTTTTGGGACTTTAGCATATTCACCTTACGCCCCAGAGTTAGATAAGTCCATACATACCTTTTTCATCTCCGTGCGTGCTATAAGTCTGTTTGACGCACCCACCGCTAGCCTAGCTTAGCACAAAGACTCGATGTGACTGGTTGCAGCTTTCATACTAATCCAAATGAGTGGCAAAATAGCGCAAACGTTTTCCTATTTACATGTTGTGATTTGTATAGTCACATAATGTACAAATAACAAAGTCAAATGAGACACAGACATCTTTTAACCGTATAAAACCTGGGAACTATTCTCTGAAGGCAAAGCACCGCTACTTTGACGGCGTAATAACCGCATCACCGGAGACACGCCGTGGTGAGGAGCGGAGAGTTCGCTCAGTGTTTGGGTAATAGAGTCAGCAATTTATAAATAGTAAAAGCGTAGTTTACAGTCATGGGTTTTCGCTCTATTGTAAATAGCTGCGACTGTAAACTGGGGAGGTAATACCATGTTTCACAGAATTCCAACTAAAAACGCTGACTGGATGAAGAAATGGCTAACTTACTCTGGATATTTATCCAAACACACCTAAATAGATTATCATGGGACATTATGTTTGCTCGGTACATTTCAATGAGGACGACTATTTTGAAAAAATGGAATTTGCCACACGGACCATAATGTGCTGAAGGATACGGCTATCCCATCTATAGCACAGACAGGACAAGTGGATCACCTGCGGCTGAGGTAAGTGTTTTTAGATGACCTACTGTAACAGTGCCTTTAGCCAGATCTAATGTAACGTTAGTGACACTATTATATGATTAGGGTATGAATATGTTTTTATCTTGATGCGGTGCGGACGCGCTTGGGAAAAAAAAAACGAGCGCGTTTACCGCGTTGAACTTGCACCCTGCGCGCCTAGTAGCCTAAATTTGAAATAACCATGGAAATAACGAACTTGAGCGTGCAAAAGGGTACGATAGGCTGTGAGTTCATTGTGCAAAAACAATTTGTGCTATTACTTTCCCCTTATTCTATCCTATAGTAATGCAATTATACTGTATATTATATAGGCTACTGTTGAATACATTTGGTTCAGTTAATAAATTGCATTTAAAATATATTGATTCCTGTAATAATAATTATTTATTCATGTGATATTTATAAATCTGGGTGCGTTTTTGGTTGGAAATCAATGAAACATGGTAGTGTATTACCTGGTCTCCCCTGTTTATTGTCACAGCTCATACAATAAAGCAAACACCCATGATAAACTATGCTTTTCTATCTAACGTTAGTAATTGCTGACTCTTTACTCCAACACTGAGCGAAGCGAACTCTCTGCTCCTCGTCACGGTGCGTCTCAGGTGATTGTTATCACTCTGCCCAAGTAGCAGTGCTTCGCCTTCAGAAAATATTATTTATACGGTTAAAAGATGTCTGTGTCTCATATGGCCTTGATATTTGCACACTCTGTGACTATACAAACCACAACATATAAATAGGAAAACGTTTGCGTTATTTTGTCACTCATTTGGATTAGTATGAAAGCTGCAACCATTCACATCCAGTCTTTGTGCTAAGCTAGGCTAGCGGTGGGTGCGTCAAACAGACTTATAGCACGCACGGAGATGAAAAAGGTATGTATGGACTTATCTAACTCTGGGGGGTAAGGTGAATAGGCTAAAGTCCCAAAAGGTCGGAGTGTTCCTTTAACATTTCATATTTGACATTTTTTAGGTCATAAATGTTAAACGAATGACAAAAAATAATCAGGCAAACTAATATAGTTTTGTCTAATTTCGCCATTTTGAACTGAAAATTAGTAAATAATAAATAGTAACGTGACATGTAATGTAATAATTAGTTTACTGTCATTGTTGTGAGGGGACATGAAACATTAACAAAAGCCGTTTTCATCATTTTAGGCACATGAGTAATAATGAATGTATACTGAGAATATAATACAAATTGTAGCCTTTAGTACAAAGCTAAGCCTTCGGAGGGGAAGAGAAAGTGATGAAGAGACTGAGGAAACAAGAAAGAGTGATGGAGATGAGGAGAGATTTTGACAAATAATCTACTGCCCACTGACATGGTTTTAAAGCTATTTCCTATCCTTTTTTTTGGGTATTCAAACGTCTTGAAAATGCAAATATCAGATAACTAAAAAATGTGAAGCTCCTACCAACCTCAAATTTAGGGCCTCTTTGATTATAAAGCCCTGTCTACGGCCCTGTATTAGGCATACAAACAATTTATTGTTTGTATGCCTAATACAGGGCCGTAGACAGGGCTTTATAATAAATGCAAAGTTTATTAAATGCATTCACAATATGTATAGGCTACACAGTGTAGCCTATACATATTGTGAATGCATTTAATAAACTTAATTACCAAGCTTTAGCTTTCAGTAAATAAACGCGTCTGAGAAAAATTATTCCTAGGCAAAATCAACCTATATCAGTTGACCCTATGTTTACTTTCTTCACTGACAGAAAAATGAAAAGCCTATATCAGTCAAAGCTCAGTTAGGAGTTAAATTTAAACTTAAATTTTGCTTATCCTTACAATTTTTTTGTTTTTGGGGGGCGTGTTAGAGTGGGATTTTGTTAGGTGGTCCTCAGAAAAAAAATGGAAGATAAAGTGGTCCTTGGGCTGAAAAAGTTTGAGAAACACTGCTTTAGTGGTAAGATTTTGGCTGTTTGGCTTGAACCAATCAAATCTGAACCACAATTTTATGAGCAATCCAGTCATAGTAAATGAAATCACGTCCCCCATAGATGAGTGGCAGCATGAATCCCCAATGCAATGCTGTTGCTTTTCGTTTTGTTTTGGAGCAAACAGGGATTATATTTGCAATGATCTCTTATTTTCTCATTAACTCTTCTATAGTTTACTTCTGGGTTCCAAACATGGAAATGTAAAAAGGATCCATTGTAGTAGCTAGGTTGTTCCGGGTGATTGGTTACTGGCCCGAGTCCAAAGAACCCGTGTCTCTATGACATTCTATATCTCAGATAAGTGAGTCTATGTTAAATTTAGCCTGTTTATCATTTCTAAGGTCTCTGTAAGAGTAATTGCACAATATGTGATGCTGTTCGTGTCCGTAGCACAAATAATATTAAAGTTTACTACTTAGAGCAGTAAAACCTGTCATTCAGTGTTTTGCCTCCAATGTAACGAAGAGAGAGAATAGAGATAATGACATGTGGGTGACCACCATGCAGTCCCCAAAGACCTTTTGTTGAGGGAAAACTTGGACAGACAAAATAGTGTCTGACTGAAAGTACTGACCCAAAAACAATCCCCGCTTGCAGTTAAGCAGCCTCGAACGGTTTAGAACAAGCTCCAGACAAAATACTTACATCTATTTAAGAAGTTATCGATGCTTTTGTTTTTCCTCAGGGCCGGAAAATCAAGGTCGTAAACCAGAGCATCCAAACTGTCCTGAAATGAAACAAACAAAAAAAAAAAAGATTACTTCAGTGGAATGTGTATTTTGTATCTTCTGATCGGTAGTTGTGCTGCATATAATCATCATTTATCACTTTCACAGACTAGAGTCTAGACGATAACTGTTTTTGCATCCTTTTGTTTAGGCAAATCATCAATGAAATGAATGAATTTGCAGTGTTCTCTGATAGCAGAACCTCTAGCGTAGGTGACCTCGGTCTGTTAACATAATAAACACATTGTAAGCATGCTAAAAACTAGTCTTGAAATTGATCATCTTCAAAGCACAGCCACTACAAATATTAAAGCTATTATTAAATAACGATAGCATCGACCAAAGTGCTGCACAAAACAAAAGTAGACACATAAAAATCACAAACAAATAAAAAAAATACAAAAAAAAAAAAAACACAAGCAAGGCTGCTTTTTTGCTAAAGTATTGCAATATAGAGTGCCGAAGTGATGACGTCACTTTGTAGAACAACTCGGAAGCTAGCGGCACGTGGGTTCCCTCGATCGAAAAGCTATGCATTTTCCCCATTGACTTTTGCTAAACCGCAAAAAATAAGATCTATGTTCAACAAAGAGTTGTGACCCTTACACGTTTTGTCTATCAATATAATCTTTACAAGTTAATCCAACATTTATACATTTTGAAGCCTTTATAAAGTTTTTTAAAAACACAAGCAGACACAATAAAGTTTAAAAAAACACAAGCAGGTTATAACTGTGTGTTCTGTGTCATAGATCAAAACGTGAAAATATTCAGAGGCTCTGTTCACCCCAGACCTTATTTCAGACCATTTAGCAAAAACCCATTCAAAAATCCCATAGGCTTTAGAGCGAGGGAACCGGTAGTGTTAAATGCTAACTCACTTCCGCGTTTTGGCCTACAGAGTGACGTCGTAACTTCGGCAATCTATTGTTTGCAAATGTGTTTGATTTTATTAGGTGTGGGCATTGGCAATATACCAGCAGAAATGTGTCAAACTGTAGGGATATTGGACTATCGTCTCCATCGTGGCTATGCTCACGTTAGCCTTGTGGTTAAAAAAGGGATTTTAAACCAATACACAGCAAAAGAGGACACATTTTCGTTGTGCGCTCTTGTGTTAGAGACGTTTCTGAGCGAACACACCTGAAACGTGCACCACATGCACATAAAAACGCTGCTCGTTCAAGTTCATTTTAACGAAAAAAAAGACAAAATGCCTGTCTTTTGGCATACCTTGTGAGTATCCTCACAAACAGTCATTTATGTCTTCGGTGAACAAACAGTTAAGAAAGGAAGCGCTTGTGTATCAGTATATTAAATCAGTGCATTCGGTCTTAAAGTGACAGCTGCCTAATATATCTGCTGCTATCTGTGCCATTAATGTTAATCAAACAATCTTAATTGTTTTTGCAAATTTAATAAGAATAAATGTATAGCCTATTTAATGTACACAGTGAAGACTATGTCGTGGGTTTTTTGTACAGTATATATATATATATACACACACACACACACACAGACGCACACATTTTTGAAAGAAGTCTATTCTGTTCACCACGGCTAATTTTATTGAGTCAAAAATAGAGTACAAACAGTAATATCACAAACTAACATTACAATTTTAGCTTATTGTAGTATATTATAAAATGTAATTTATTCCCATGTTCAAAGCTGAGTTTTCAGCATCATTGCTCCAGTCTTCAGTGTCACATGATCCTTCAGAAATCAGTCTAACATGCTGATTTGCTGCTCAGGAACATTTAAAGGATCGTTTTGATAAACTATTATGACAGAGACCTAGCAATGAGTCCAGAGACAGAGATTAAGGCTTGGTTAAGTCAGAGTGATTTCTCAGCAGGGATATTCATTTAAAGGGGATCTATTATGCAACATTCACTTTTATAAGGTGTGTCCATAATGTGTGTAAACAACCAGCCTATAATGGTGAAAATCCACCCACTCCTTTTTTTTTATAATCGCAATAAATCATAAATAGTCTCTCCGAACGAGCAGTTCCAGATTTCCCTCAACTCTTACATAAGTCCCGCCCATGACTGATGACGATCTGCCTATTAGCATAGATCCCACCCTGAGTGGGACGCAGCAGTCGCCATTTCCTCACTGTAGCAGCTGGAGATATGCAATGTCACCCAAAAATAAAATAAAAAAACATTACAAATGTTCTGTTACTGGATGTACCAAAAAAAACATAAGAGTCTCCACAGACCCCATAGCATCTGAGCCACTGAGGTCTCACTGGTTGAGTTTCATTAATGAAGGAACTGTGCTTAAAGGGTTAGTCCACCCAAAAATGAAAATTCTGTCAGTATTTACTCACCCTCATGTTGTTCCAACCCCGTAAGACCTTCGTTCATCTTCGCAACACAAATTAAGATATTTAAGATATTAAGATCACTCCTGCATACTAGTCCATAGGCTTCGTGAGGGAATGACTCTTGCTGGCATCGAAAAGTCATTAAAGACATCGTTAAAATAGTCCAAGTGACTACAGTGGCTCAATCTTAAGTTTATCAAATGACGAGAACACTTTTGTGCGCAAAAACAAACAAAAATAACGACTTTATTTCAACTATTCACTTCCTTCTCTATGGGCCTGTAGTCAGTTAACGTAGTGTGATTGCGTAGAGCTACGTCACACGTAGGCTCACTATTGGCCGACGCTGGTCATGTGTGTGTGATGCGTGTGACGCACAATAACAGAAGCTTACGCTATTAAACTAGTAACCTGACTCGCGCAGAGGGAGAAATAAACGAATAGTTAATATAAAGTCGTTATTTTTGTTGTTTTTTTGCGCACAAAAGTATGCTCGTCGTTTGATAAACTTAAGATTGAGCCCCTGTAGTCACTTGGACTATTTTAACGATGTCTTTAATGACTTTTCGGGGACAGCAAGAGCCAGTCCCTCAAGAAGCCTATGGACTGTATGCAGGAGTGATCTTAATATCTTAAATATCTTAATTTGTGTTCCGAAGATGAACGAAGGTCTTACGGGGTTGGAACAACATGAAGGTGAGTAAATACTGACAGAATTTTCATTTTTGGGTGAACGAACCCTTTAAGAACGCTGTTAAAGTGTTTGCCCATATATTTGGGCAAATCATTTTATGCCAGACTGCTTCACAAACAAGGGTCAGTTCAATGCTGGATTAACAGAAAAGTTGCTTCTAAAAGATTTTTCGATTAACATGACGGTAAATGCTAGTCGATGAGTTAAATCAACTCCACAACAACTACATAAATGGATCCACTAACCATTCAGAAACGTACAGAGTGTCTCCATCATCATGTCCGACACCGGTTCGAACACGTAAGATTCAACACCGCTACTGACAATTTCGGACATTTTGGCTGCGTTAGATTCTCCAGTTTGGTTGTTGTCGGAGTATCCGAGGCAATAAGGTTGTGCCGATAGACGATAGTATCGTGTATCGACGATAGTCTGAGATATCGCCGATGGCAGATGCCTTTGACGATATCAATACGATAATTGGCTCGTTTTACCATAATGTATTAAATTATTATTATTATTATTATGCCTATTATTATTATTATAAAGCTAGTATTGTTATTAAATTAATAGGAACTACAATTAATTTGCCTTGCCTAAATTTACAATCATCCTCATTGCAATCCTCATAACAATTGCAACAATACCGACACGCACTAAGGACTCCTCTAAGAGAATGTTTTTAAAACAGACTAAAAAACATCCCACATCAAAATTGAATTGCAAGTTGATCCATTCACAAATTATCAAGTGTGATCGTTTTAACAGACGCAAAATTCAATTTCCTACAGATCCAAGATGAAAACGGCACCGTTGTTCGTCAGTATTTGTTTCCGTAACACATTAACAAAACGTTTAATGACACTAAAACAATACAATTACTAAATAGTATTAATAATAATAATAATATCACTAAAATAGTATTAATTACCGTTATCATCGTCGTCTCTGAGGGAACGCGGCGTTAATGCAGATGGCGAAAGCAGTCCGTTTTTACTTTCACTTTCAGAGATTGAGCGCGTTTGCATGCGACGACGATTATGATTATGTTGAATTAACTTGACAATGCATGTGGTAATGTAAACGCATTAACCCGTTTTCCTTTATCAGAGTCAAGTCATAAGTGTATAAGTATATAAACCGATCGACTCAGCTAGACGTTTGGCCCTTGCTCTGGTTTCTCCCGGCATTTAAAACACATTAACCCGCGTACTTCGTGCTTACTGAAGTGCCCATGTGAAGTGCATCCAGACAGAGAGCGCAATGGTAGGGGGACACATATCGCAAACTCCGACTCTTTCTGACCCAAGAAATAAACGTGTTTTCATCTCGTGCAGAAATAGGCCCTAGTCAAAATGCTGCATGTAACGGCATGAGGATAGGCTAATGTGTCCGTAAATTTCCCGTTGACAAACAAAAGTATGATCTTTTTTTACCTCACTATACTAGGAAATAACCTGATCCTATTAATAAACTCCACCTTTGCTAGCAAAATAGAAAAAAAAAGATTCTCGTTTATAAAACGAAGTAGGCTAATAAAACAAGCAAATTAATGAGTATGCTAAAAAATCAAGTTAATAATCAAATAAGTTAGAGGCCCCTCACGATAATATCGTGTATCGCCGATCTCACAGGCTGACGATAGGACGATATGAAAATGGAGCATATCGCCCAACACTACGAGGCAATATATTGATCTCGAAATAATCGACAAAATAATGTGCTACATATAATATTCATTTAATTCAGCAATGAAACCATAAGCAGCAATGAACATTAGACCATATTATACCATATTTGAGTTTTTCCCTGCAATAGGAGTCAAGGATGCCAGAAAGATTGCCATGTCCCCTTTAAAAGAGGAGCCTGAAGATTAGGGTTGGGGGTTTGAGTGATCACACAGCACGCTTGAACTAGTCACGGGTGACTTAGACATCGAGGATTACACTAGATTAAGATTAATCCCGTTG